CCCACCAGGGTGCAAACTGCCGTGCAAGTGCCTCAGAGACAAAGGCATTTTCGCCATGAAGTGTGACGACAATCGACAGCTTGAACTTGTCCTTTCTAAACGAGCTGTGTTTCTTGCCGAGCCAAGGCGCATCAAGGCACCATTTGCGGTGGACATATGTGCATTATTGTGCATTCAAGTTCTGACAGTGACATATCATGGACCCAGAGCAAATGCAAATAATGCAAGGACGAGAACGATAATATGATATCAGACGATATCCAAATGGAGGGCCATTTTGGTGAAGTAAGATGGAAGTATTTGCTACACTCAGAAAATCCATGCAGCTGCCAGGCTGACCGAAAAAAAAACCCACAGCCACAGAGGGTTCTATCAAGGAGCTGGTCCATGACATGTAGAAAACAACGATGATGTTGAACCTTAGCAAGCACAACACCATCGAGCTTGAGCCGCCAAGGCTGATGACACAACGAACCTTCCGGGAATACGTGTGCTCTCCAACAAAAGGGCATGGTCATTCCCCTACTGATAGGGGCAATCTACCCACCACAAGCCTAATGACGGTAAGATGACTACACAACATCCAATATATTATGTCTTGACATGTCTTGACCGTCGCGCACATGAAATCACTTGACCTTGACTTCGCCGCACTACAGTCACTACAAGCCTTTTCACATCCACCAAAATCACCGACATTCCAAGCGATTCCCAGCGATTCCAAGGCACATGGTGCCATGAGCGGCCAGGTTTGCCACAGCGTTGGGGGTTCGACCCACCAGAAGCGACAGGACCTGCACGTCGTTCATCAGATCTGAGTTCGTCAAAACGCCGTGTCTGCTCATTGCTTCCTGTAAAGGATGCAAGATGCAACAAGTTCAATCCTAGACATTATCAAACATTATCCCATAGGATCCATGGTGCTGGTATATATGCTAATATTGTGGGTATATTGATGGTAAATGTTACAATGTATATATTATATATATATATCATACATGGATCCTATGGGTATTGTATGTTGGAATTCATTAGAAGTTTCGTTTCTAGATGTTTGTAGAGTTTCTGTGTATGGTGAAGCTGTTTTTTAATGACGCATTTCGCCTCGAAGGCCCACCACTCGGACCACACCACCAAGGCGGCCGGCACCGACACCGCCAAGTAGTTGCGGAAGGCACCGGCCTTTTTTGAGCAAATCCCGTTGGAAAATGGGCAGAAGATATATCGGATATTCAATGGATTGGATTAAGGGAAAATTTACAGGAAAACCCCATATTTAATGGGAAAATCTATGGTTTCCTGTAAATTTTCCCTTAAACCAATCCATTGAGATATGACATGATCCTGGTTGGTGGTTGACCTACCCCTCTGAAAAATCATGGAGTGAAAGTCAGTTGGGATGATTCAACATTCCCATATATTATGGAAAATAAAATTCATGTTCCAAACCACCAACCAGGATATTTTTATGTGTTGGGATTTCCACCATCAGAAGATGATTTTTTTTAACACAAATTTGAATCTGAATGTGTCATGATGTGTCATGATGTGTCATGGTGTGTATGAAAATGGATGAAAATGGGAGATACCATGGAATAACAATCAAATCTCCTGTGGTAGTAGCTCATATTATCCAGGCAAAGCCATGTCAAAGCTGAAACCACGTGTGGTGGTCTGGGTACTTGTCCCTGCGGAAAAACTTTGGCAAGGTTGGTCTTAAAAGGGTCTCCTTCTGAATTGTGCCCTCTATGAATGACCCTTTGTGGATTGGCAGAAAACGAATTCTGCATAAAAGTGCTCCTTGCAACAAAATGTACTCCAAATCTGAAAAGAGTGTCAAGGCAAGCAAATGGTCATCAATCTCGGTCCAATCTTCATCAATATTTATGGATAACTCGGATAACTCTTCAATATTGGTCCGGATTGGCCCTATATTGGCCTGTTGCATAGAGATTCACCCACAACCACAGCATACCACAGCACCCACACGCCTTGATCACAGGCTCTGAATCGGCAGCGCGCTGCCACACTAATGTTTGAAGCCGTTGGCACCGAATGACGGTGAAGAGGACCACGCAACAAATCATGCCACCTGCAAGATGGATCGACGCAACGACGCTAGCTTTGCGAATCAAGTTGTCAAGCCTTGGGGCCCTTATTTGGATGGAAGAGTATGTGGCTGCCAGGAGTTACTACTACAGTATATCATGCCAATTCCCCATTGTGATCACTGCTCCACCCATCACCAGGTGCCATCGCTGGGGTCGACCCTGGTGACCTGGTGACACCTGGTGCCATCGGAGCTGGTGCCTACGGCTCGAGCCAGTGCATTGCCAATGTAGCCCATGTTCAGGAGCTGCGGATGCATGAAAACGAAGCCTTAGATTATGGGCCATTATGGGCCATTGATTGATCATGATTTTTTCTACCCAAATGATCCCGAAAAAAAAACGGCTGAAATGCATTGAAAATCATTGACATGTGCTTTTTCACATTTTTTTAAATGCTATGATTGAAACATCTTGAAACCTAGGACCTAGCACCTAGCAACATGAACTCCTTGGGACCGGTCTGGAGACCTTGGGAAAATAGACTCATTCCAAGCGCGTCAGCGCAAAATGTTCGGTTGATGTCAATTGCTGCCATGATGTCAATTGATGTCAATTGATGTCATCTGGAAAACATTGATTTTTGGCATGTTCACTGCAACTCTGCAACTCAGCAATGTCCACTGCCAAGCAACATAGCAGAATCTGCAGAGGGGAGCTAACTAAATTCCTGAGTTGAGCGATGAGCAATTTTTGCCGGCCATGGATAAGGGCCCAACAATCGTGGCCTATTAAAGCTTTGTGCTTTCAGCAAACATACAAGCGTAATGTCTGGGTCTTCTGAGGTTGCCCTGCCACGGGCAACCGAGGCACATGATCAAGCCAGGCATTGTGTACTTGGCCGATTGCAACGCGATATTTGCTGCATTGGACAGCCAGTAGAATGGAACGCCCAAGAGCCTCGAAAAAAATCAGCACCCCAGGGGCAATCTGCACGTGCAAAATGCAGGAACACGTTGGGCAAGTTCAGTCGACATGTCTCCATTTTGTGTCGGTGATGCCTCTGCAATCAAACATGTATCTCATATATGGTTTTGCAATATTTTGCAACGGATTATCAAGGGATATGACAATATGTCATATGGATATTATCCCATTTGATGGTGGTTTCTCAAATAAAAATCCAGTGACATGGTGGTTTCTCATATAAAAATCCATTTTTTTATGGGAGATTGCCCCATTTGATGTTTGTTTCCATATAGTATAATAGTAAAATCCATGCTGGTACCATGATCTCTGGCCCACACCGAGTCACTGCACTTGCGCATAGCGGGCGCTGGTGTAGGCCACATCAGCGGGTTGACCCAAGGCAATGAGCAGCGGTTGGCAGAGCACTGCACTGCAAAATGCGAAGATAAAACCTGAACTTGGCATCCGGGGCTTTCCTAAGTCATTTTGTCGGATATGCCAATATCATCCAATTGATGTGGATGGTTTATAATGGAACATACTGTTTTTTTTAATGAAACATTTGGGAGAGTACTCCTATAGGAACCTCCGTCGGCATACAATTCACCACTGATTTGGGGATGGGTCAAAACCCTGGTACCTAGTGAACCCCAAAATAGCTGGTAAATGGATGTTCATTCCCTTAAAATGGCCGAAGGAAGTTTAGAAGTCAAACTTCCGACAATATGGACAGATGAAAAGCAGAGAAGGGAAGTGGCAGAGAGAAGAGAAAGATTAGAAGAAAGAAGAGTAGAAGAGAAAGAGTAAGAAGACAGAAGATGCAGATGCGCGAAAAGGTAGGAAAGTCGCGAAACGTTGTGTTTTTCCAATGATTTGTGGCTCCGGAGGGTCGAAAAGTAGGCTCGCTAAAGCGGCGGGTGCGGAGCCAGCTGGCCAGAGGAGAGATGAAAAATTGCACGCCGTTGTGGCGCGAAGCACATTTCCAAGTCAAAATGTACAAAACACACCATTCTCGGTGGCGCGAAGCACATTTCCAAGTCAAAATGTACAAAACACCTCAGCTTCGGACCACTTTTGGAAGTTGAGATGTGGAAAAGTGCACGCCGTTGTGGCGCGAAGCACATTTCCAAGTCAAAATGTACAAAACACACCAGGTTCGGACCACTTTTGGAAGTTGAGATGTCGAAAAAGTGCACGCCGTTGTGGCGCGAAGCACATTTCCAAGTCAAAAGTGTTAAAAACTGACGGTCTCGGACCACTTTTGGAGGTTCAGATGTCGAAAAAGTGTCAAAAAAGTGCACGCCGTTGTGGCGCGAAGCACATTTCGAAGTCAAAAGTGGAAAAAACTCAGAGTTTTGAGCCTTTTTTGACGTGAAGATGTCGAACAAGTAGACACTGATTAACTTAACTAACTTGACTAACTTAACTAACTTCACTAACTTAACTACCCTAACTTCGACGACAACAGCAACAGCAACAACAACAACAACACCAACCACAACAACTACAACTACAACAACAATAGATCGATCGATCGATCGATAGATAGATAGATAGATAGATGGATAGATAGATAGATCGATCGATCGATCGATAGATAGATAGATAAATAGGTAATTAGATGAAAGAGAGAGAGAGAGAGAGAGAGAGAGATGGATAGATCGATAGATAGATAGATACATAGCTAGATAGATAGGTAGGTAGGTAGATAGTCAGAGAAAGAGTGAGAGAGATCAATCGTCTTTCGATCCATCAGTGGCTTCGCTCTGCCATCCCTGATTCACAACAACCAACCTCTCCTATAGGTTTCCTATTTTTGAAACTTCCGCCACCGCCTTGTGCTGTACTACTGGTATTATTAGGTATTGATCCATACCCATTTGGTTGAGCTTCATGGGGCTACCAGCTGGTTACCAGCGATCTGGCGACACTGTGCAGCTGAGATGCAAAGGCATAGCAGCAGCAAAGCTCGGCGTACGTAGACGGGGTTCAACTTGTCGCTCTGATTCGCACCATAAGCCTCCCCACAGTCGTCGCATAAAAGTGCTACATCTATATTGGTGCCATACTATCAGATATGTTCAGATAATTTTAGATATGCATATAATATATATATATATATATATTCAGATAATTATAATATATATATATATATTTATCAATATACGTATATATATATATATAATGTTTATTATCAACACAAGTTGCCCCTTTTTTCCAAACTGAAGTCACTTCTCGGCTGCAGGTGTGGCGACCTTCAAAACAAAAAAAAACGGCTCCGCCTGGCTGCAGAACGTGGCTAAGCCAATGGTTGCGCTCACACCAAGCGACAGCCCGGTGATGTTCGAGTACATTTTTCCAATACCTCCATTGAAAGCTGGTGTCTGCGGACCACAAAATAATAGTGGTTCTAATATGTTATAATAGCAATAATAGTGGGATTATAACCATTATAATATGGGTATATGATGGTTATATAATATGGTTATTATACCAATAATCAAATATCAATATGTTGTAATGTGGTTATATGATGGTTATATGATGGGATTATAACATAATATATATATATATATAGATGGTTGGTGGTGCAATTTCACCATCTTGAAAAATATGAGTCAATGGGAAGGATGACATCCCATATATGCCTGGGAAATAAAACATGTTTGAAACCACCAACCAGTATTACTACAATTACTTCATCTGAATGCATCACGTCAAAGATATGTCCCCCCTTTTTTCCAATACATGTCCATTCCCACGGGTGAACTAGCCCTCCAGACACTTGAATGAAGTCAGGTCCGCAATGCCACCTGGTGACACTTGACCTTCATAATGAGTTGGACTGTTTGGGTGTTTAGTCACATTTCGAGAGCTTAGTTTTCGACTGGTCCTCGACTCTTCGCCTGCACCATCATAGTGTGATCGATTCTGGTAGTCGTAGTGTCCGACAAACGTCAAAGTCCATCTATCAGCACCAACACCTGGTGATCTCGGGAAAACATCGATTGGAATGTAGTTTGCTTTGTTTTGCCGAGTACACCAAAACGTCAAAGTTTGTTTTGGGAGTACACTATAATTCTGCTGCATTCATTTGGGCGTCCATTTTTTGCAGTTCAACTCTGCACCAATTCTGGGGCATCCCATGGCATCCCGAGTCTGTCTGAGGCTCGATCTTAGACATTGACTGAAGATGAGCGGTAGCACCAGTCTCAAGAGCTCCTTCAGAGATTTCACCTGCAGATTTCTGCCACAAAAAAAATGGAGAATTTTGGCAGAAAACACTTGCTGCGGTGCTCTTTAAAAACATGCCAGAAGGGCACTACACCGATGTCAAAGCAACAGATCTGATAGAATCTGATAGATGTGTAGCATTGTGTAGGAAACTAACAAACATGATACACATGAGCGCATTTACAAGCCCTTCTGTTGGCAGAGCAATGGGCACCATCTCCCGGAGGGTTGCTTCTCTCACCGACATGGTGCCGTCTCGGGGAAAGGCAATACGGCAGCTTTTGTGCCACCAGTCCACACTTGCAAAGTTCAAGTTGGTAAATTTGTCGTCAACTCGGTAAGTTCGCAGGCGTCTTCGATATTTATATATATATATATACAGTTATATTATGGAGTAGTTGCAAGTTGACTGGTTTGCCAACAAGCCTCATGGTTCAAATTGCCGTGGCAGTGTGAATGCGTGTTTGATTCTGTATGCTCAGTGCTAGTGTTGCAGCAACATTGAAAGGTCATAGAACTCCATAGCGCACCGTTCAAAAGACAGTTCACTCCTGAATCTTGGACTGGAGCTACTGCAGCTCTAAGAATACAAATGGCATCACTTTTGCGGCGCTTTCGTGGTCTTGTGATGCTTGGAGATGCTTCCTGCTTTCTTTGTATGAAGCAACTGGTGGTTCAGTGTTCGAGGCAAAGATGGCCACATGTTGAATCATTCCGAGCAACCAGGTCACATCATGAGGTCAAATTCCAGTGCCAAGCTAGGCCAAGTGAGTGGAGGAAATGTAGTGAATGTAGTGACCAGGATGATACCTCTGTGCGCAGTTGAAAATGTCTGAGTTTGGGGCTCACTGGCTCACTGCGCACCTTAGAGATCGGCTGGTATGGAAACACATGTGACAGCCCTGGAAGGCGTGAAGTGCTGGACAAGACATGGCAATGACAATGTCCCAGAAGTCCTCATCCCTCAAAACTGCAATAATAACAGTTTTTTTTGCATCTCTCAAATGACTGAGTGAACAAAAAAAGTGGTTCAATGGACAGTGCCAAAGGCCAAAGGGAAATGTATAGGAAACCATAGAGGTCCATTCATTTTCCTATTATTTTTTTTTGTTGTTCATCATCTTTGGCAGCTTCGCCATGTTTTTTTCGCAGGGGTTGGGTTTTCGCACCTCTCTGCAAGTCTTGCAGTTCTTCATTCAGTTTGTCACGCCTCACAACTGAATCAGATCATCTCCAATCCCCATGGCTGGTGGCGAAAAGCGGCTGTTGTTCATGGGAAACTAATCATATTATGTGAATATTTGTAGATAAGTATGTGTTTAAAAGATTTTATAAGTAAATTATATCTAAGAAGTAAAAATATAAGGATATATTCGGGTTATCTGAAAATGGGGTGTACCCGAAATGACCATTAATCAACGGATTTAGGGGTACACGATTTTCAGACAAAACCATGTAAAAAGGTAGTAAAATATCATATGATTTCCTACAATCATCAACCAGTTTTTCTGCCAGGTCCATGACTGGAGACGAAGGTGATCCCTCTCCGCACGAAGTTTTTCTATCTCCTCCAACGCGTGTGAAATTGAAATCATGGACAAATTTCAGTTTCTTGCCATTTGGAGTTTGGAGTTTGGAGCATCAAGTAATCGGAATGGATGCTACAGGTTTGTGATGATCTCACGCAATCCGCCATTATCTGCCGATATTTGAACACAATAAATAAATATATATATAATTATATATATATATCAGGATTTGTTTCCTACAAGTGGCAGATGATGATGATGATGATGAGGAGGAGGAGGATACGATGGTGAGGCTGATGATGATGATGATAATGATGATGATGAGGAGGAGGAGGAGGAGATGATGATGGTGATGGTCTAGTGATGGCGATGGTGATGGTGATGATGATGATGATGATGGTGGTGGTGGTGATGGTGATGATGATGAGGGAAGGAGGAGATGGTGATAGTGATGGTGATGGTGATGGTGATGATGGTGATGATGATAAGGAGGAGGAGGTGGAGGTGGAGGAGGTGGAGGAGGTGGAGGCGGATATGATGGTGAGGGTGATGGTGATGATGATGGCGATGATAAGATGATGAGATGATGAGATGATGAGATGATGGGATTATGAGATGGTGAGATGGTGAGATGGTGAGATGGTGAGATGATGAGATGATGAGATGATGGTGATGATGGTGATGGTGATGGTGATGATGGCGATGATGATGATGTTTTAATCAGTGTTCCAGCGCCTGTCCTGTTGTTCTGGGTCGTGCTCCTGTCACGGAGCAAGGGGCCAAATCGTGAGCCCACAGGGTGGTCATCGCCAATTTCATTTCCACACTGCCATTGCAATGTACCATGAATAAGCTAAACCTTGTCCTGAACTCCACAGTGACTAGGTAGGCAAAAACTAGTACCAATATTTTCCGCGATGGTTTTACTGCTCACGGTCTGCTTTCTCCAATTTGCAATATGGTGTCGTATGGTGTCACCTTGTCAACTCTAGCCAACTGTTTTTTCAATGATTCCAACGCCATCCAACGGCCAAAAAACAGTTTCAGATGACATCTACAATGCCTATTTGCGATGCTACTGCTACTCACTAAGGATTTTGAAACATGTGTTCAGTCTCTCATTTCCTGCCAGGCTAAAAACTAGACTAGACGGTGTGGCCCCTTCAAGAAAAGCAGGAGGGAGTAGATCAAAAGAGGATGGAAAAGAAAAATAGGAATATGAAGGATGATGAAGGATGATGAAGGATGATGAATGATGAATGATGACCGAGGACCGAGTTTGTGGATGCATCATGGTTAGCTAATGAGTGATTTTGAAGTTATTGTATCGTATGTACATCCGTGTGTGCCCATGGAGCCTATTCAGATGACTGCAAGGACACAAGGGGATTACATAGAAGCTTTCCACACAGAAACTTTTCGCAAAGAAGCTTTTGCACAGAGGAGCTCTTACACACAGAAGTCTTTACACAGAGAAGTGTTTTACACAGAGGAGCTTCTACACACAGAAGCTTCCAGAAGCTTTTACACAGAGGAGCTTTGACACACAAACGCATTTACACGCAGAAGTGTTTACAAACAGAAGCTTTCACACAGAGAAGTCTTTACACAGAGGGGCTCTTACACAGAGAAGCTTTTACATTTTACACGCAGAAAAAGTTTCACACAGAAGCTTTTACACAGAAAAGCTTTTACACACAGAAGCTTTTACACAGAGAAGTCTTCACACAGAGGAAGCTTTTACACAGAAAGTCTTCACACAGAGGAAACTTTTACACAGAGAAGTCTTTACACAGAGGAGCTTATACACACAGACACTTTTACACAGACAAGCTTTTGCACAGAGAAGCCTTGACACAGAGGTGCTTTTACACACAGATGCGTTTCCACATAGCAGATCACAGAAGCTTTTACACAGAGATATCTTTACACAGAGATATCTTTACACAGAGATGTCTTTACTCAGAGAAGCCTTTATTACCCAGAAGAGTTTTTACACACAGAAGTTTTTTCATCTTTTTCACAGAGAAACCTTTACACAGAAGAGCCTTTAGCCAAAGACGCCTTTACACACAGAAGCTTTTACTCAGAGAAGTCTTTACACAGATGAGCTTTTACACACAGACGTTTTTACACAGAGAAGTTTTTACACAGAGGAGCTGTTACACACAAATGCGTTTACACACCGAAGCGTTTACACGCAGAAACGTTTACACATGGAAGCTTTTACACAGAGAAGTCTGTACACAGAGGAGCATTTACACAGGAGCTCTTTTACAGGGAAGTATTTATACAGAGGAGCTTTTACACACAGAGGCATTTACACACAGAAGCTTTTACCCGTAGAAGCTTTTACACAGAAGCTTTTACACAGAGAACTCTTTGCACAGAAGCGCTTTTACACACAGAAGCTTTTACACAGAGAAGCCTTTACACAAAGGAGCTTTTAGACAAGGACGCCTTTACACACAGAAGCTTTTCCACAGAGAAGTCTTCACACAGATGAGCTTTTACACACAGACGTTTTTACACAGAGAAGTTTTTACACAGAGGAGCTGTTACACACAAATGCGTTTACACACCGAAGCGTTTACACGCAGAAACGTTTACACATGGAAGCTTTTACACAGAGAAGTCTGTACACAGAGGAGCATTTACACAGGAGCTCTTTTACAGGGAAGTATTTATACAGAGGAGCTTTTACACACAGAGGCATTTACACACAGAAGCTTTTACCCGTAGAAGCTTTTACACAGAAGCTTTTACACAGAGAACTCTTTGCACAGAAGCGCTTTTACACACAGAAGCTTTTACACAGAGAAGCCTTTACACAAAGGAGCTTTTAGACAAGGACGCCTTTACACACAGAAGCTTTTCCACAGAGAAGTCTTCACACAGAGGAGCTCTTACACAGAGAAGTCTTTACACATAGAAATCTTTACACAAATGAGTTTTGACACACAGGGCCGTTTACACAGAGAATGTTTTACACACAGCAGCTTTTGCACAAGAAGGCTTTTACACAGAGAAGCTTTGATACAGAGAACCCTTGCCACAGAGGACTTTGTGACGTTGCATACTCAAAATGTTGCATCAGTTTTTGCCGTTTGACCATTTCTTTCAAAAGGGTTGCATCTGAGATTTCAAAGTCGCAATTTTACACCAGTTTTTGACGTTGGACCGTAATTTCGCACGAGAGGGTTGCATCTGAAGATTCAAAATCCATCAAAATCCTCTGATCTTTCAAAACTGCAATTTTGCGCTGGTTTTTCGACATTTCCATTTGACGTTGCAAAATCGCAATTTTACACCAGTTTTTGCTGTTCGAACTTCATGTAGTGGGAAAGGGTTAGATTGGTTAGATCTCAAGTTTCAAGACAATATTACACCAGTTTTTGACTTTCAACCCCCGTTGAAAATAATCCGCAGAGGGTCACCTTTCGTAATCCGCCTGGCTGCCGCCTTCTAGAAGTTAACTCACTCCTGTGGAACAAGTCCTGTAAAACAAGTCCTACAACGCCTGTCAAAGAACTCCTGCGTAAAAACTCCTGCGTAAGAACTCTTGTGAAAATGACATTGAAAAAGTTTCGTAGGAGATGTGTCGACGTTGAGCACCTTTAGATGATGTAGATGCCTACGGCAGGAAAACCGTACGTGCGTTTTGCTTCTTTTTGAGTATTGCTCTTTGTCTTGGGGTTGGGGTGGGGGGGCATGTTAACGTTCCTCGTACTTCGTACAGGATATATTGCCATGTTAGTGTGGGTTGGGGTTGGGGTGGGGTGGGGTGGGGGGGCATGTTAACGTTCCTTGTACTTCGTACAGGATATATTGCGATGTTGCTAAGATCTCTGGGATCTTTTACTACGTTACATGTTGCTACGCTGCTGGTATCTCTGAGATAGTTTCCTACGTTACATGTTGCTACTCTGCTGAGATCCTTGGGTCTTTCTTACTACGTTACAGGTTGCTACGCTGCTGAGATCTCTGAGATAGTTTCCTACGTTACATGTTGCTACGCTGCTGAGGTCCTTGGGATCGTTTACTACGTGACATGTTGCTACGCTGCTGAGATCTCTGAGATAGTTTCCTACGTTACATGTTGCTACGCTGCTGAGATCCTTGGGATCGTTTCCTACGTGACATGTTGCTACGCTGCTGAGATCCTTGGGATCGTTTACTACGTGACATGTTGCTACTCTGCTGAGATCTCTGGGATCGTTTACTGCGTTACATGTTGCTACGCTGCTGAGATCCTTGGGATCGTTTCCTACGTGACATGTTGCTACGCTGCTGAGATCCTTGGGATCGTTTACTACGTGACATGTTGCTACTCTGCTGAGATCTCTGGGATCGTTTACTGCGTTACATGTTGCTACGCTGCTGAGATCTCTGGGATCGTTTACTACGTTACATGTTGCTACGCTGCTGAGATCTCTGTGATCGTTTACTACGTTACAGGTTGCTACGCGTTATGAGTGCCATAATGGCAACTTGCTGTCGAAGACAGCTTCCACACTGATGGATCGCTGAGCCGACGAAGAGTGTGAAAAAAAATCTGCGCATCCACGTCTGATGCACATGATGTTTACCTGGATTTGTTAAAAATCAATAGATTTTGCATCCACTTTTTTTAACCCAAACTCAGTTATCCAAACTGATCGGAAGAGCATTTTATATTGTAAATTACAGGTGATTGTGACTCTCCTGGAAACAACCAATCAAAACGCTCGCGCGGTTTCCCTTCCGCCGGGATGTAGATGATGTATGAGATGTAGATGAATTTGATGTAGATTATGTAGATGATGTAGGTGGTGTAAAGGAAGTAGGAGATGTTGTGTAGATGAAAATAAACAAATGAATTTGGCAGCAGTTGTTTGGGAAAAAAACATTCGCAGGAGCTTTCGGGAAAAATGTCCTTGTGCCATTGAAGCAGCCAGTTGGCACCTGATTTGCGCCGCAACGGCTGTAGTTCAAGTCTGTGACAGTTTGTTTTTTTCCAAGACTCTGGTAGGAAGCCGAAAAACGTGAAGAAACTTTCCGAGTCTATGAAGCTACTCGCGGCACTGAACAAATGACAGACATCACACATCATTAAGATCATTAAGGCAAATCAAACTTGCCCAGGCATCAAACCGTGCCATACTGTTAATACTTGCTGCCTGCAGGTTGTTTGATCATATTTGAGTCTCAAAACGTAATCATGCCTACACATGCTCACTCCCACCCATACAATTTGGCGAAAATCTTTCTGGAATCGTTGCACCAGAGATTAAAAAATTAATAGACTCAAACAAGAATCAGGGCTAGTGAAAGAAGCAAAGAATCACCATGAGCACAGAAACGTTGAAAGGACAGCTCTTTTCCATGCTTTTTCTCAAGGAGAAACGCGATAGCCTTCATCCACAAATTGCAGAAGGTTGTCCCTGAGCCATTTCTTGTAGTGGATGAGGCCTCTACGATCAAAATGTTGCACATACGCCTCATGCATGTGTTCAATGGCATCTCTCCATAGCTCTGAAGCTCTTGCTGAATACCTGGGACTTGTGAAAAGGAACTTCTTCAGCTCAAGCAGCACCGCCTGTGCTTGTTCCAGTTCCTGATCCTCCAAGTAAGGACGCGCACAAACTTCAAACAGGAAAAACGCATTGGGCTGCGCTGGCTCCACGATCGGATCAGCTCCATGTTCTAGGAGCAGTTTCACGCATGCGCTGGCGCCCCGACCAACGCATCTCCGCAACAATCCAGGCATATTCGCATTCAAGCCAGCAGTCAATAAGATTTCCAACTTCCTGAGTCCTAAACGGCCATCGGAAGGAAGGGACAGGATCCAATCCCGAAACCTCTCTTGAAGTATGTTGACATCTGAGAGTTGCTTAACAGCCTGCTTGAAGCTCCTTAGATCCCATGCAAAAACGATGTCGGCGATGTCGGCCCCGGTTCTTGCATATACCTGAGCCCATCGTTGGGGCACCTTGGTCTTTGAAGGTGTCTTCTTGGCAGATGGTTTTTTCATTGGCTTATTCACCTTGGCTCTCCCAAGAGCTGTTGTCTTGGGAGCTCGTTTGGTCGACTTGGTTGCCTTCATTGCCTTCATTGCTTTCATTGCCTTCATTGCTTTCATTGCCTTCGTTTTCTGGCTTGCCTTATCTTTTTTTGCCGGAACCTTCTTTGAAGTGGCCTTCATCGATGCCTTTGTCCTCTTGAAAGTCTTTGTCTTCGTCGTTGTTTTCATCGCTACCTTCACTGCCGGCTTCTTGCACGCCGCACTCTGCGAAGTTTTCATCGCTGCGCAGCAAACACAAGGCTTTCATGGCAGCATCTTAGCTTTGCGCTGCTGGGGTTTCATTGAGCCAGTCATGTCCACGAGTGATGTTGCAAACCAGCGTTCCTTCCCATGTGAAGAACTCCAATGACCTCGCGGCATGATGTGTTTTACTGTAAACCCCTTTTTGAGTGAATTTAGATCCCATAGGATCCATGGTGCTGGTATATATGCTAACATTTGGGGTATATTAATGGTAAATGTTACCATATATGGCATACATGGATCCTATGGGGATGGAACTTGGATTTTGCTCACGTCCAAGGACTGGGACGATGCTACAGCAATCTCGACTTCACCAGGGCCAGCGCTGAAGCCCTCCACATCTTCAGGTTGACTCCGAAGCAATGCCTGTCGAGATCACAGCTGCGTCCGGAAAATGACGGTGTCAGGATGGTGAAGACCAAAGATATCCAAAGATTCAGCATCCATTTGTTTGTTTACTATTTTTTCAATCATTGCGCTATCATTGCATAATCCTTTGCTGAGTTGTTTCATAATCGTTGCACAATCGACGCCACACTCGTCGCCTCAACTAAAGCTTCCAGCATGGAGCGCATGTTACTCTCCAAATACCTTAGACCAAATGTGCCAAATCAGATCAGTGGGTTTATCTACCTGGAAAGGTCAAATAATCCCTTTTTTTTGGGTCCAAATGGCTTTTTCCCATAATGACCAGAAAATTTTGTGTTTTTGGCTTTCCAGGTATGTATATCATGTATATCTGGAAGATTCTGAACACACCAAATGTTCTTGCCATGGTTTGCCATGGTTTTATCTCGTGGTTCAATGGGTCCCCGATTAAATCAGAGCATATATGCATCCTGCATCCTGTGGGCCTCACGTCGTGTGCTGTCCAACATGTCTCAGCTCCAATCCCAAATGAAAGTAGGAGGTTGATCGGAACCTTACTGGTGCTTAGCAGGGAATGAGGGAATGATCCCAGTCATCACTAGTAATAGTCATCCCATTCCCCCAGTCCCGTCCATTCCCTACGTTTAGCACCAGTAAGGAACAGCTGACCGAAGAAATTCGCGAATTTTCTGTCGAAGTGTCTCTTCATAGACGGCAGCAGCTACGGCTGGCATCTGGTGGAGCCTCAGATTGATGTCATCAGAAATCACATGCGATGTATTGCAATGACATATAATGACATCTTCCTTGGCGCTGAGGGGTTGCATAACATTCAATGCAAAACGGTACAGTATCCGTCGCTTTCAGTCGACTGTGGAATATACATATATATATATATATAGGTATATATATGTATCTGTATACACATACATATGATTACATATGTGATATGTACGCGTATGTTATATCATATATATATATATATATGAAATTACTTGAAATTACATGAAATTCTTCAACCATTTGGCTTCAATATCTTCAATCCACTTAAAAAAGCAGGCGAACTGGTCCATGGACCCTTTCAGCCAGCTCGCTGGCCTGGGCGAGCAGAAAGCTCGCAGAGCTGCTGGATCCCGTGATTTTTGTTCTGTCGAAAAAACAATGCCGGTGATGAGCTAAGACAACGAAACTTGGATAAGTGTTCATCTATTTGTTGATATATGTTGATATATGATGAGATCTATATTTTTCTAAATTGTTGATATATGTTTACTAACTGTTACCGGTCTGTCGATGTCTTTGTGGCCGGGAGATGTTGAATGCGGCAGATTTTGGCACAACGAAGATCAACGGATCATGGAGCTGCGAACCAGACAGCCAAGCGCGCAAAGGTCATGTTGTCACCTGGCAACCACCTCTACAAACTGCACACACACACATGGGCACACATGAGCACACTGTGTCCTTACATAAAACAATCAAGAACATTCTGATATATTCTGACTTAAAAGGCTGCGGTGATTTTGTAGCTACTGTGCGGACAAAGTGTGACTTCAAGTTTGAATACGATGTGACTCATGGAAGTTTCCGCTACAGTCAAAGTAATGCACAACAATCAATGTCGTGCGTGCGAGAAAAAGGACTGGTGAAGGTTCACATCGAGCTACGACGAAGCTAGCAGCTCAGACATCTTGTTTTACAAGGACCAAAAAGGAATCAGCGCTTGTTCTGTCAGAGAAGAATTCATGCTGGCAAAGCACCTGTTGAGCTGCCACTCCTGAACCTCTCTGAGTTTCTATATGTTTCTATGCATTTTAAATTACAAATTCAAGCGAATCCAAAGTGTGCTCTTACGTCACTTTGTCTCGCCGACACGCTGGTTCGGCGCATTGATTGGGTTGGTCAGTCGGCAGAACAAGCCCAAGACCTTTTCTTCACGAAAGTTGTTTTTCTTCTCATTCAAAGAACACAACCAGCCATGACACTACCAAAACTATACACTATACATCACTATACACTATCATACCGTTCCAAAATCAAAGATCAGTCAGAAATCGAACAAGCTATGAGGCTATCATAGGCTATCAGTCATAGGATCTTTGACTCCTGCAAAAAAGTGACCATCCTCGCGCCAGCACGCCAGCATCAACCTGACAGCAATACGGTAAAGGGCCATCAAACATACCAAGGCAACCAGAAGGAATTGCAGAATCTGCGATCGAAGCAGTATGTCAAATATCAAATAATAAATATCAAATATTACATATATACAATTTACATATTATGATATAGATATAGAGAATATGTTCATATATTCTCCGCACGCCTGTACATTCTGCGTGGTCTGTGTGATTGACCAAACATCAATCATTGCAACTTCGCCGTATCAGACTCTTTCTCTTCTCACATTTCTCACCACCTATTGGAAACCCATCAGCCTTCTACCCCTCAAGCTGCTCCTTTCCAAGCTTCATTGATTCACAGACCTTGGTGATGTTCGCAATGCCGCAGCAACTGGCACTCTGACGTCGACAATCGTCAGCTGCAAGGCTCCCCACTGGGCGACCTTGATGGTACTCAGGGTCATCATGGAACGTAGGTGCCTCGGCTGACTTTGTCCATCTTCATTTCTTCAAGTCGAAACCTCTCAGACTTTCAACCAGGTCACATTGTCCAGGGTGAACTTGTCGGAACGATCATCCAGGATTTTTCGGCACATCGCATCATACTTCAGAGCCTTCTTCCTGAGCCACTTCTAGAGACTGTTAGAATCTCCGTGAGACCCTTGAGATGGATATTTTGATATATTTTGTTCATTGCTCCGCGCCAAACTATCTGAGCATGCTTGAATTGTCAATGGAAATATTGAAGTTGAACATGTGCTGTTTTGGGAAGCATCCTGAACCAAAAAGAGAAGGAAAGCATGCACAGTTGCAGTGTATGCAGCAAGCTTTTGCATGAGACATTGACAAGCATCTGTCACTGTCAGTCACTCATGGTCGTGGGATTATGCAATCATTGGTTTGTATGACTGGTCCTCCTCAACTGGTGTTGCTTCATGTCGGAGAGGTGCACATTTTTTAAGTAATGTCAACCCCGGATCAATAACGCCCTGGGCTGTTTACTTGGAGCCCAATTTTTTTTTGTGGGTACCATTTAAGTAGATTATGAGTATTTGGGAGTACTTCCCATACGTAATTAGTAGACCAGGCTTTGTCAATCTGGCCTTGTCATTGCACACTTCACTTCACTGAGAGGAGCACTGCTGCTGATCCACGTCCTTTCTTTGCTTGACCTCATGCTTTCTGTCGACCCAACTCAAATCCAACACATCTGACGGTCCGTGTCGATTCAAAGAAATCATGCGAAATCTGTCTGCAGTTCGCCTGACGCAGTTAGCCAAGTTGAGAGGGATGGTGTTTCTGGTATAATGATAGGTATAATGATAGTCATCTATTAATATGATAGGATAATTGTTTGGGACTATCATAATTATACCTATCATTATGATCACAAGTCGGAGAAAGTTTCCTCATTTCCCTCAGGCTGGAACTGCTTTCTCCCAGAGGCGGCGAGCTTCCTGATGTTCACCGCGCGCGAGTGTAGCACTGTAGCACTGTGATGGTGGGGTTTCACTCGCCGCCATGAAACGACCATCATGTTTGATCTCGAAAAAACACTAACTTGGGAACCAGCACCACACATGTGACCTCAGGTTTTGGTAAGTGTCCTGGATGGTAGGATCAATATCAAGTAGACGCCTTAGGTCTTTGCATGCCTGGGCCGGAAGAGCGGGAGAGAGGTCAAATAACTGGGCAGAATGCGGCAGTGTCAGGTGGTAGTGATTTCCAGCCAGACTCTATCATAAGTCTGCCTTGAGTTCCAAATTGGCTTAACTTCTGTTAATTCCTGCCATGTTTTTGGACATTGATACTGTGCCTTGGGACGCAAACTCACCAATGGTATGAGAATGAGGGCACAGAACATGTTTATTGTACATCTATGCAAACATACAAATGCCAACGAACATGAGAGCGAGACACTCTGGTGTTCACTACTTAGTGAGGCCTGATCCAGTAATGTCAACCCCGGATTAATAAACTATGGTTTATTAATTAGGGGGTACTCCTCCAATAGTCATAATCTGATACTTAAATGGTACCCTCCCAATTAAACAGCCGGGAGGTTTATTAATCCAGGGTTGACATTATTCGCTTTACTCTGGACACAAGCGCAACTAGCACCTTGAATGTCGAGGGTCGCGGGACCAATCTCGCGTTGCTAGCTTATAGTCCAGAAACCACACAGGGACAAGATGCGCAGCAGATATGGCCGAGGACAGAGAATGTGAGAATGGAATTATTGGGTAAAAGGTGGTAAAAGGCCAGGAACTTGCGCAGCTCTCAGAAGTTGCTCCTCATGGTGCTGCCCAAATACACTTTGCCGAAGCTGGAGGAGTTCAAGAGAGTTGTGCAGTGCTTCACGCACTTTGCAGGGAATTTGAACTCTCGTATTCATTTATCAGATCTTTATCCATCAAACTGATCAGCCGCTGGTCCGCAGACTTTGCTTACATCCTCTAAATTTGACATGGAACCCCAAAATGGCAATATCATGCAACATCATGCAATATCTGATCTGCCAATCAGCTTCCAGACCATATTTTTGAGCTTCCAGTGCTAAAATACGGGGGTGTACATTTCAGTCTAACTAAGATGCAAAATCAGATTCGCGACTTTAGGTTCCCGGACCTCAACAAAATCACGTTGCTGCATTTGAGCTTGCGCTCGTCGATACGATGCCTGCCAGTGCCAGTCGCAAAAACGGTTCAGCTGGGATGAGCTGCTGCATGCCGCAGACCTCGCCTTTGTATTCTCTGGCATTTGCTTCAAAACCAAATCGCAGGCTTCTTTGGCCTCAAATGAGCCCACAGAGCACCAATCCAATATCTGAGAGACAAATGACCTATATCTATACATCTATACGATTCTATATGCATCTCTATCATCTCTATCCTAGGATCGACTGCAAGAGAAGGGTGCTGTTGGAGAAAGCTCTCACGCTACAAACAAACCTCTGGAATGCGCGCGGAGAAATGTCCATGAAATGTCCTATCTGGGCAATGTCTCTGGTTCCACTGGTTCCACGCAAGAAATTGGTGCTTTGCAGAACAATGGTGTCGATGAAAGTTCCATGCGTGGTGTTTGATAGTTTTTGAACTATTTTGACATAAAAAGGCGACTGTTCAATGATCAAACATCTGTTGATGTGGTTGGTCATTTCCAATAATTGGCTACCATCAGTACAAAAAAAACGATTAAATCGGTACACTCTTTGCCTGCGTCTTACTACGGTATGACCAACATCTCTTCCTCCTTCTGGTTGGTGGTTTCAACCCCTCTGAAAAATATTAGTCAATTGGAAGGATTATTCCCAATATATGATGGAAAATAAAAAATGTTTGAAACCACCAACCAGCCTTCCAATTAAGCTTGATACCGTTGATGAGTCCTGAGGGTGACACTGGCTGGGATAGGTCAAACCATTGACGACGCTATCCCATTCCGAGGGATCATCAGTGGCTGCTACAGGACGTTTAGCATTGGAGAAGACAACAGCAATAAGCAGAAGGTTCACATCCCAGGAAGATAAGCAAATGGCTATATATAAACCACTTTAAATAAATCTCAAATGTTATGATATGTTATGTGTATATATATACATATATATACATGATTAATCATAATTATACATGTACATCCTGCGTAGCATTTCCTGGTATTTCACTACTGCAGGCGATACCACTTTCTGGCACCCAAGTGTTGCATGACTGCGTCCTGTAGTTTGATGCAACAGGCTGCAATGTTCAAACGGCAGTCCAGTCGTAGTTTCCTGCACCTCAGCTTGCAAGTTGTCCATTTCAAGCCGATAATTGGAAGTGTCTCAGGTTGGGAAGCCTGCACCAAGGAACCATGACCATGACACTTGTCCTTTACAACAAACAAATTACCAAGTTCTCCCAAAGTCCGATTGTCTAAAGTGAGCATGAGTTTGCTTGTGCAGCTTGTTCATGTTCCAAAATGTCCAATGCATCAATGGGTTCCTCCAGAAATCATGCCACAAGCTGAGCAAACCCACTCTTGCCACAGTTCGTACTTGCCCAGGAAACGATCTTTGACTTTTGGAATATCCAAATGGTGAAACAAATCGCAGATTTCCTCGTACCTGGCAGAAGAGTTGGGCCTTTGATCTGACGTGAGATCCAGCAACTGGATTCCTGCAATTTCCCCAATGTCGTTTTGGTAAAATGTCTATGGTCAAAACCCTGGTACCCTGGTGAACACCAAAATAGCTGGAAGTTATGGATGTTCACCCCCCCAATATGTATATACATATATATATATATTAAATATATATATATATATTTATTTATATGTGTATATATATACACATACATATATATATATATATTTCTATCACAGGTGTTCAATGGTTTTAAGATGTTTCAAGCCCCAAATCTGAACGGCACCTCTGCCTCGACAGGCGAAAACGGCCTTCTTTAAAGAGGCGATTGGCCTCGGCCTCAAGTCCCAGTCACATTGGAGGAACCATCCAGTCGACCGTATCCAAAATGGTCAACAATTTTTAAAAATGTGTATAGTATTGTATAGTATTCTATCTAGTATATATTTGACCATATATTTGACAAAATGAGTATTATGATTAACTATATAAGATATATATACTTGATGTGTGTTATATCTTATGGTATTGTCAAATTATGTCAAAATATAAGATGTCGATCAATGTGTCTGAATGTCATGGAGCAGGTGATCTGTTCTCCGAAAACGACAGCCTACACGCACCAGCCGGCCTTTCTTCTCAAAGCAAATGTCAAGCGGTCCTCCTCATCAAAGGAGGGGGCCTCAGCATCGAAGTGCCCTGAAAACCATAACCTCCAGCAGCTTTAGCATCTCAACCAGTCAGAGTACCCCTTGCCACTTGAAAAACGCGCAAGCGAATAACGTCAAAGTCAAAATGGAGGTCGCAAGCTACAAGCCATCTTCCGGCCTGAAATCCGCTCCATTTCTGGGCCCCAAGTCATGAATACTGTAGATCCACTGGTTGGTGGTTTCAACCATCTTGAAAAATATGAAAGTCAATGGGAAGAATTATCCCATATATTATGAATATTTATGAATAACTGGATGGTGATATACCTACCCCTCTGAAAAATCATGGAGTTCGTCAGTTGGGATTATTATTTCCAATACTTATATATATATACCATCTGGTAATTTAACATAGCTATTGAAAATGGCCATTAATAGTGGATTTACCCATAAAAAATGGTGATTTTCCATAGTTATGTAAACGTTTACCAGAGGGTATGTAAAAATAAAAATGTTTGAAACCACCAACCAGTCCAATACATCTCACCAGGATTTTGGGTCTTCAATGGAGACTGGCCCATGGCAAGCCATGGCAAGGCTCGGCTCCCGACGTCAGGTCCAGGATTGAAGTCCAACAGGGTCACACGTAAGGTGTACTCAGAGCTCCTCGCCCCGTGGATCTGTGGATCTTCTGAATTTCTGCATCATGAACAGGTGTGATATATATATATACCCATATATACCCATATATAATCCCATTAATTATATATGTACTCAAACTCTGAAGAATCCTGAACATTTCTATGCAGTCCCTTTTCAGACAAAAGTGGCAGGTAGCAAATCACACGGGGACGAGTCTAGCAATGTGCCATGGTGTCAGGAATTGTGCCAACCCAAAGTCGAGGAGAGATGAAGCCGCTGCTACTTGTGGCATCTTGTGGCCAGTTTCGCTGCAGTCACAGCTGATATCTAAGGATCTGACTTTGGCACTGGCTTCTCACCCAGCGGTGCTCCAACCAAGAAAGAAGGGTCTGTACCTGGGAGAATGGGAGCTCAAATCAGCTGAGATGTCGTATCTTACCGCACACTTCCGCCTCAAATAGTGAGTCTGGGTACTGTAAAAACCTCTAAAAACTGTAGTTTTTAGTACAGCAAATCTATCCCCAACTCAGTCCTCCAATGTCCTCCATGGTCCAGCTGAGTTCCCTGCAGGTCACCAAGGCAGTTTCGTGTGGGCGCATTTCAAGCCTCGAAACGCACGCCCCGTTGCGTTTCCCCGGGCAGTGCAGCGGTGACGTGACTTGAGCTGAGTCTTCGACACGGCACACTCCAAGGCATCACAGACCTGGCACCAGTGCAATTCGCTGTAGCTCAGCAGCACGAAAAACATCTGTGTACTTTATGAGAAGAGCAAACAGATGATCAGAGTTTGTTCTTAAAGCAAAAAAGCAGCATATCATCAGCATACAGTCTCAGTATCATCAGCATATCATTCCATATCCGTTTCTCCTTTGGCTTTTGTGGTGACCCTTCACAAGGTCCCCAGGGCCGGGCCCCGCCTCTCCATCTCCAACATTCACAAACATCTCCATCCTCGGCATCGCACGACCGGAAGATCTTGTCACAGTTCAGGTCCACCTGGTTCGAAATTATATCAAATGTGGGTAAAACAATGCAATAACCCATCTGGGAATAGTATGAATAGTTAAAAAAAAACATGTTAAAAAACATGTTGATTGTTTATACCACCTATAAAAGTGGTGATTTACATGGGTTTTACATGGGTTTTGCATGGGTTTTACATGCTACCATTTAATCAGAAGACAACCAGATAACTAGATCCAGAAGGAGCACCGGCCAAATTCTCCACGGAGAACATCGGAGAACTGGGCATCCTGCGGAGATGCTCCAGGTTCTGGGAAAAGGCACCGACCTAGCAGCAGCATTTCGCACAAACCCAGGGACACCAGCTTGATATGGGGATGGGTCAAAACCAATAGTACCCCTGTAGTTCACATCAAAATAGCTGGGATTTATGGATGTTCATCCCACTAAAAATTGTATTAATAGGTATTGATCCATAGCCATATGGATTGACAAGATTTATCACAGTTGTTTAATGTTCTTTACAGGGATTCCGGGATGACATTTTGGGACATCCTCAAATTGACTGTGTTGCCACACGCTGCATTCAAAGGTGGCAATGAAAAATCAGCCATGCGTAGGGTGATGGATGGGGATTTGCCGTTGCCGTAGGTGTGATTACCTGAGTTTCCACATTATTTGGTATCTTCCGGCAGTACAAAAACACACAGAGGTTCGCCCACAACTCTGTGAGATCATGCGAGATCGGCAAGACTAGAATGACGATCGAAGCAGCAGATAGCAGCAGAATCTCTGAAATCCACCAAGATCCATCAAGATCCATCAAGATCCATCAAGACCCGGGAACTTCAAACTGGGCATCTGGCCCTCCGCAGTAGAAATCTTCTCAACCCGGAGAACTGCCAAGCCTCCCAGCGAGTCCAACCTACGGAAACCTTTGGGCCTGGGAAACCAAGGCCATGCGCCCCATCTCGACGATTCTCGACGCCTTCATCTGAGGGATTGTTGCACCAGGAGCCAGCTCCATCCTTGATCACCTGCCCCCGGTGGAGCAAGGCGTTGTTCCGTGTATCTTGTATAGAAAAATACAGCAAGTGATCATATGTGATCATACAGATGTTGGAAATTGAACATATACATAAGATCATATAATGCTAATATGGTCTTGGTATAATATAATATCAACATATACATTGGTATGTTTAAGTATGTTGTATAAGATCATTGGTATATACCCTCTGGTAATTTAACGTAGCTATTGAAAATGACCATTAATAGTGGATTTTCCCATTAAAAATGGTGATTTTCAATAGCTATGTTAAATTACCAGAGGGTACATACAAACATACCAATCTCCCATGACCAAAAAACTGCTCCAACCTCCTTCAGGACTTGACCAGTGCTGTTCTTGAAGGAACAATCCTGTGGGCTTGGAGAAACCCATATATTCTCTATCCAAAAAAAATCATCCATCAAAAGTTAAGCTATCATATATGACACTAATATGATAATAATATGATAATAATATGATAATACATCTGAAAGTCCTCAGCAAAATGCCAAGTGATGTCCCAGGGCACCGGAAAATGATGGAACATGTTTAAGGCACGAACTTTGGAGACAAAGATCTCCAGCAAGCTAACCTCGCAGCCACGTTCAGGACACATGTGGTGTCAAGAGTGGTTTAGTCAGGTGGTCCCAGAGTCCAGTGGGGGCAAGTCGTGAGGTTTTATCCCAAAATAATCCAAAATCCACCTGTGGGTTTGTCTGAAAACATGGTAATTATCCCAAAATCCCATTGTGTATCATCATGTTCCTCATTGTGGGCTATACCAGTATACATTGGCACATTGGTATACCTCTTTTTTGGACAAGCCCATGTGTTCAAATCTATCTTCAATCAGGCCGATTTTCTCTGCCTCACAGACTGCCACCTCCTCTGGGCCATGTTGAGCAATGACTGGAGCCTGGCCATGGTTGGGCCCTCCAAACAACCAGCTTTGTCCAGATCTCCAAAAACAGCACATACATGTGGCAGAAAATTAGATAGTCGGCAAGTGCTGTGAGACTTACCCTCTGGTAAACTAACATAGCAATGGAAAATCACCATTTTTAATGGGAAAACTCACTATAAATGGCCATTTTCAATAGCTACGTTAGTTTACCAGAGGGTATCTAGCTTGAAGATGCTTGAAGACCGTGCTGGTGTGATGGAGAAGGACAGGGGATGATCGGCTGATCAGATCATTTCAGATTTTGGATCGAAATGTCACCAGCTCTGCAGCACCACTCGGAGGATTTTTTGCGGGGGTTCTTCAAAATGATCCATCCAAAAAATGCCCAAAAACGCGCCCAACCAGAATAGGAACAATGATGTGTTGTATTGTGTTCTTATATTTTCGTGTGCATGCGTACTAAAGGATTTACATTTACATTGGATTTGCATATGAAACATCACTTGACTTAGAAATGGAAGCAATCAGCCAAGTTGTTAGATTGCAAATAGCCCCATACCAGAAGCACAAGTTCATTCAAGTCATTGCCGTACAGCAGCCTTTCCCATATTGATTGCACCCTGCCAAGTTCCGTGCATCGGACGCAAAAAGATCTCTTAGTGGATGAGTCACTGATGCCTCATACGTTGGGTCATGGACTGAAGCATAGTGAAGCATGAATCATTGGATAGGTTTCAGGGAACATTTACATACATTTACTGGAAACCCCAATATTTGATGGTCAAAATCATGGTTTCCGGTTCAGATTTTCCCTTAAACCAGTCCAGTGATACTAAAAAATTGATGGTAAAAATATGTAAAAAATATGGTTTCCATTGGTTTCCTGTAGATTTTCCAAAAAAAATCAGTTCAATGAATTAAAATCCAACCTCCCTGTCCTGGCACTGGCACTGGCGGATCTGAGTTGCAAACCACCTGGCCACGCCGCATCTGCAGCAGCATCCCATCTAGCAGTTGGGAGCAGACCTGTCACGGGGCCTGGATTGCAGCGGAGGTACTTGAAAAGATATGAGAATATGAATGAATGATGAATATATATATATATAATATATATATATATGTGTGATCACATTATGATTATATACATATACACTATATATATATATATATATCTAACTATATCCATATAATTATATCCATATATATATATATACATATGTGTACAGTAATGTTGTTGGTCCACCGCCTCGCCAACACCTTGAGATTGTGCCCCCAAGACCTCAGTAGTGAAGGTCATGGAACATGTCAAGATCCATCTGAAGATCTGACGCCAAAAACAAATGGTATGTTATGGCGCCTTAAAAAAAAAGGGACTGAAAAAATATTCATGTGGAATATTATGGAATGTTTAAAGATACTTTTGTATCTGATGTTCTTTTGTATAGCTAAGTATTTTGCTAAGTATTGTGAGTGGCTGAAATGCCACTTTTTTCATGCACTGGAGACTGCATCCTGAGCCGCACACATACACAAAATCACTTTTGGCTTCCAACAAAGAGGCGTCACGCTCCAAGACAACGGCATATCTCACTTTGACCTGACCTGAAGATCCGGAAGCAAGAACCTGGCCATCCACCTTGACCAAGATTTTTGTTCGCACTGGGTAGGCGGCTGTTCCAGCCATTTGCGGTTTGCCTGGGATGCACAGGGCTGAGCATCAAGAGGAAAAAAAAGGAACTTGGGATCCTTGATGATGTGTTTCCAATATGTTTCCACTATATGTTTCCAATATGTTTCCAATACCCATAGGATCCATGGTGCTGGTATATATACTAACATTGGGGGTATATTGATGGTAAATGTTCCCATATATGGCATACATGGATCCTATGGGATATGATTCCACGGTTGTTTCGTTTGACTTCACAAAACCATGTCAGGGATGACGGTGTCCGCTGCCATCCTCCACGGTCACAAAATCAAATCGTCCCGGAGCTTCCCTGGCTGTGCAACTGAGTGGATGTCAACATATTTCGTGATATTTCATGATGTTTCAACTTACTGGTGCTTAGTAGGGAATGGATGGGAATGGGGGAATGGGATGATTATTGATAGTTATTGATTGTGGATCATTCCCTCATTCCCTGCTAAGCACCAGTAAGTATTTCATGATGTTTCAAGTTTCTCTTTCGTCAAAACTGTTTATCCTGGACATGTACAAACCCAGACCGTTGGGGAAAGCAGTGCCAGTTCTTTATCTGGGCAATGGATATCATTGTCATCATGGATCATGATGATATCATATCATATCTCATTGAAATCTAGTGCCTGTCGAAAAATTCAGAGCATTCAACAATCTACATTCGCCCAAAGCGACTTATGCGACTTGGAGAAGCTGCAGAAATCTTGGACCCGGAAGCAAGCTGAGACGATTGAGATCGATGCGCCTGGGTCCACTTTTTGGGCGATTTGCCTCGCGGAGTCGCTGGTGGAAGACTATCAGATACCCTGTAGTTTCTGGAAATACAAACGAAGCACCAGCATACAGGTTCCAGTCTGGAGAAGTCACGGGGCATGACGGAGCCCAAAGTGCGGAAGGCCTCTATTGACAAGATTGTTTTGGAACTCCCATAGCTCTCCTGCAACTACCTCCTGTGTCACTTCAGAACTAGGCTAGAATCCTACTAGTACATCCCAGAATATGTTCTGACTCTACAAATCTCATGAAATCTCCGTTTTTTTTCAGACCATGGCTGGGTCCATTTCCTCCCGTTGAGAACTAAAGCTGACCTCCTCCGTTTCCTTCTGTGCCTTCTCCATACTTTTCCTGCGCCGTGAAGAGCTTTCCAGCTGAAGCAATGTTGAGATGCCAAACGAAAATTCTGGATCTACGGCCTGATCAAGTCTCACTGTGCTTGGATTTAAGTTGAAGAAGTTGTTGGAACTGGCATAAGCCTTCTCTTCTCCATTCAAAAAACATATATTATATATACATATATATATATATATCTATTAATCATGAAAGCATAGAGATATGATGAGATATGCACACAGCAGACCTTGCTGTGTCAAAATCACACGATGCAAAAAAACACTCGGCAGCCTAAACTTCTCCATATCTTCCTTCAAATCCTGAAGATCAGAGCCTTGTGGGCGCCTTCCAGGCTGTGATGAACATCTCGGTCAGGCAGTATATCTAGGTGAGATGATCCATATTACATATAATATATCAATATATACCATACAGTATGTACATATCTATTTCACCATAATGATCCATAATATCTAGGTATATCTAGGTGGATTATATTTCGGTATTATTACATACAGAGTTACATCATGGACAATAATGATCCATAATCTGGTTGGTGGTATACCTACCCCTCTGCAAAATATGAGTTAGTCAGTTGGGATTATTATTCCCAATAGATGGAAAAATAAAAAATGTTCCAAACCACCAATCAGACAATGATCCATATATGATCCATATATGATCCATAAAGTTAATTAAAGTTACATATCCATACGTATACAGTACGTATACATATTATACATGCAAGACATTCCAAAACCCCCAAGACGTTACAATGCTCAGACGTAGATCGGAATCGGCTGAACAAAAAAAATGGGGCCTTGAGACCACCTCAGCCGCCTCTTGCCGCTCGATGGCATCCTGGGGAAAGGCGCTTTCCGAGCGCTTTCCGCGGCGCCAAGGCCATTTTTCGTGGATTTTTCGATCTGAGAAAAACATCCGCAACATTCTGCAACCGATCATCTGTCATCTATCATCATCTATCATCATCTATCATCATCATCTGTCATCTATCATCATCTATCCATAAATGACAGATTCTTATTCTCCTTTGGATCATTTTTTTTCAAATCAAGAAGATTTCGATAGATTTCGTACATCCAAAAGACAGACCTCTGAAAAAGAACCTGAAGATCACCTCATGCTTTGGTCTTTATTAGCTACTGACACCAGAAGTTCTGCAATGTCTTGCAATGTTTCAATACCTTTCACATGCCATATGGGAATGGGTCAAAACCATGTAGCCCTGGTGAACATCAAAATAATTGCAAACGGATGTTCATCCCCTAACAAACTGTATCTATAGGTATTGATCCATAGCCATATGCAATTTTGCATCTTTTTTCAGCACGTTTCGCACGTTTCGCACACAGCGCTGTCGGACTTCAGTCCATCAAGTTGTAGCTGGCACTTGGAGGTGCCGCATCGAAGGTCTTCACACGCCTCGCTGGTCGCATATGGTCGCATGATGAATGATGTGCTGCCAAGTCAAACAGCCAATGGTGGTTTTATGGTGGTTTTATGGTGGTTTTATGGTGGTTTTATGGTGGTTTTATGGTGGTTTTATGGTGGTGCTGAAATAAGGTGCAACCATGAAATCGAATGAAATCGAGAAATACCTCCCGCGTGTTTCCGTGTACATTTTATAACTGCACTTAGCATTGAGATGCATTGAGGCATTTTTGAGGCAGCCTCCAAGCACATTGCTGCGCTATTGGGTTGCTGGGCTCCAATGCATGCGCAAATAGCAAGAGATGTTGTGACGCCAAGTCTTTCTTATCTTTCTTCGAAATCTTCCACCAGAATCGAAGTCCGGCTGAACTTGCATCACATAATTCCGAACAAATGCTCAGCCTAATTTGATGTTTAGAGTTTAGATATGTTTACCCTCTGGTAAACATTTACATAACTATGGAAAATCACCATTTTCAATGGGTAAATCCACTATAAATGGCCATGTTCAATAGCTATGTTAAATTACCAGAGGTTAGATCTTCCGTCTCGCACAGCAGAGTTTCCACACCCAACAGGCTGCGCGGAAAGCCGTGGGCCGCCGCACGAGCTTTGCACCAAGCCATGCTGCGGAATTTCCGTCTCCGGAGATTCGAGCCCACCTAAAAAACGTCATGCGACGTCTGCCATCGAACGTACAGCTGTCCAAATATACTCAAATATATTCAAATATTATATGATTTATATGAGCCATGGTCAATACTCACTATATGGTTGATGGTCATCCCATCCATAATAAGGATCCTTATAATGGTTATTATAAATCCCTATGAACCATTGGATGACTAGCCCCTATTAATGGTTATTAACCATGAGTATTGACCACAGCTCATATGGCCAATAGATGCCAATAGCTGGTTTCTGAACTTAAGTTTACTTGTGTTTCATCTTGTTTCTGTCCGAGGATGTAGAAATAATATGAAATAATTCCAAACCAAGGAATCCAAAGTTGAACCACTGAATCTGTCCGGATATCAAAGTCAGAACCAAGGACCACGCGTCCGCGACAAACACGGCACACTCCGCGCCAGCAGGACATGACAGCACCTGCATAAATCGGGCTGTTGGAGTCAGTGCTGACATCAACTGCATATCTAAAGACCATGAGTAGTACAGTACTGCTTCCTTTCCTATCCTTTCCTAGTGCTCCCCAAAGGCATTGAACATCACCAAACCCTACTGCTTTGCTTTGCTTTGGCTCCCTGTCAGTTATATACTCCATTTGGGTATGGCAACATTGATCCAGCAGAGTCTCCTTCCTAGCCCTTGTTAGGCAGGCAATTGTGATGGAATGTTGACACGAACCAGTTGTGGTTCCTTCACAATTCGAGCCGCGCGAAGCCCATAAATATCATAAATGTCATCATTCAATTCGGGAAGCGAAACAGGCCGATCAACTAGTTTGTCCAAAAATTGGGGAATTGAGGATCCAATCGCTGATCTTCATGTGTCCATATTCGTTTCACATTAAAACTGCCATGTTGGGGGTGAAATAGCTTAGATGCAACTGCCGCCTTGATAGCGCACTCCAAATTCACAGCAGCTTGAGCCACTCCGCTTGTCGTGACTGACAAGTGCGAAGAAAGCTTCCCGAATTTGAAAATTCTTACCATCACCAAATTTAGGTTTGGTTTATTTAGTTTATTTGTTTGGTCGAGTGTGGAAGTGATTTTCCCCATCACCAAAAAAAAATGCGGATGTTGCAAGAGTCCAATCCCAAAGCGGGCAACGTAGCAGCGATCTCTTTGGTTGCGGCAATGCTCACGGTTAGAGTTGGCTGACTCGCCGTCAGCACAGCACAGGCTCGCCAGTGAACAGTATGTATGCCTCTATGCCGCTATGCCGCTATGCCGCTACGGTTGGAGCAAAGATCTTGAAGTGTCTTTCTTTACCAAAGCAGATCGCAGCCTGTGGTCTGACTCAGGACACTTTGGTCCTGCACTCATTTCGGCCGTTCATTCTGCAAAGTCAGACCTGGGAGTCACACATGTTTGGGGAGATGTTCCATATGTTCCAAATGTCTCAACTAGGTCTAAATAGGTGTTCTATGACATGTCATTTTATGATATGTCATGTGCCAAGTTTGGTTTTGGGCTCCCAGTAAGAACCTTATTGAAGGCTCCCAGTAAGATTTCAGGCCTGAAATCCCTTCGAAATCCGTTCGGCCTGATAGCCGTCAGTCTTCAACGCTTTTTCAGGATGGATCTTGGAGGTGCCTTTCGTCAAGGAAATCAAGGAATGGAGGATTGAAACGAAAACTAATGTTGGTCAGCCTATAAACGAAAAAAAAAAATAAAAAAAAAAACATGAATCATGGCAAGCTTGAACAAGCCGTTTCAGCACCCATTCCTTACACCATTAGAATCAAAACATATCAAAACCAAAAGGGGCAGAAGCACGGCAGCATTGTGAGTGTAGCGCCTCTAACTCCACGTTATGTCCCCTGAAGTTGGTCCAATCTCGTCGAAAGATACTTCATGAATTAAACTTCCTTTAGAGGGATTCAAAGAAGACAAGAAACATCTGAAACATCTCCCACCAGGTCCCAAAAAACCTTTAAGAAAATTAAGAAAAAAAGGATAAAAAATGTATCGAATTGCTTAGGACCCAACAGGTTGTGAGGGCACCTGAGAGAGGTGGATGTTAAAGAACGTGAAGAGATTGAGCCAAACATGGCCTGTTTTTGAGTTCACTCGGATTTTGCGGTGGTTTTTCCCAGTGCCCAGGCAACGTCGTTGATGCAGTGCCTTCACTACCACGATTTCGATGTCCGACTCCAAGGTCGCGGTTGAGTCCGAGTCTTCCTTCAATCAACAGATGCTCAAAGCCAATTGCTGAGCATATGTGATTGTTGATATGGCAGTGTGTCAAAACCAATAGTACCCCTTTTTTGTTCACATCAAAATAGCTGGGTTAAAATGGATGTGAATAACCCACTAAAAATGGTATTTTCATAGGTATTGATCCATACCCATATTGTTGATAGAAGAGGTTGGTTAATAACTCTAATAACTATATGGTTTATGGTAGTTATAACATGTTATAACTACATTTACTGGGGTTACTCTGCTCAGACTCTGCGAGGGTGTTTTCCTGCTGCAATTTTGCAGAAAAAAATAGAACAAGTACCAGTACTGGCTCAATACCCAGTCTAACCCCTCAGCCTTTGAGACTTTGAAACTGGTGGATTAAGATGGCAATAAAATGTGACTCGTGTGAAATCTGCGACTTCCCACCTCAAGCTGTTGCCGTGACTCAGTTGCCTTGGCTTTTGACGCCTGGCCAAGAGAAACCGAATCAGGGGATGTATTGTATGTCCTGATAAAAATCTTGGAAGACCCTCTATATATATAATATATATATATATATATATATTATATATAATAATATATATATATATATATATGTTATACAATACCTGAGAAGGGGTGGAACGAAAGCCAGCGCTTGCTTTTTGACTCGCGCGGGGGCGCGTGAAACTACACCTCATCCATATGGCATGGCTCAAACATGAAGCGCCCCAACATCAACAATTATTATCGGGTCATAGTTTTCCAATCATTAAATGGACCTTTTTAGGGTAAACTCCACGATTTTGTAGCTTCTATATCCAAATATGTTTCCTCTAATGTACTGCGGCATTGTGAAAAGTTCTATCTCAAGTTCCGTAAATCCGCCTTTGGTTGCTCATTTATCTTAAAACAGCGCAAGTTTGCTCCCACCTATTGTAGATAAATAATACCCGCTTTTTTGTGTGAACAGTGGTCATGTGACCTCTCAAAGTCTAAATTGTTTTCTCCCCAGAATCGTGGTCCATGCTTCTCCGCGAAGTTCCGCAACATTTTGGCCGTACGGTGAGAAATCAAAACATAGCTCTACTCGCAAAATGGGCAGTGCAAACCCAAGACAATATTATAACATACGTAAGAAAGGGTATAAGAACGAATGAAAATCGAGGAAAACAATGCAAAACCCACGGGAAATATAGAACAGTGGCGAACATGCAGTCCAAATCAAAAGTATATATATTTAGGCCATTTACAGACCTGGGTACCCCCCCCCACCCCCCAAGGGTCTGGAAAATAGGTATTTTACAGGAAATGTCGCGGAATAGCATCATCCCTGACATCGATAGAGATAATTGTTTGGCATCCCGGAAAATCTTCTCAGCTATCACACTCGCCAAACATCCCTTTTAAAAGGCACACATACTATCACGGACGTACAGATGCATATCATTCCCGTCATTGCCATTAGAAGATTCAAATTCTTTCTCGATGTTTTAGTACAAGATTCACTTTTAGTTCTGTTTCAGCCTTCTCAGTACGGCCTCTTACAATGATATTACAGCATTTGTCTCCTAACCTAGGTGGCTCCTGGGCGCAATCTTCATTCCAATGCTTTGTGACAATAACCAGGGGCCTGGAGCCTATGCATCACTTGACAGTCGACTCAGTTCTAAACCGGAAAGACTATTCCTTCCGTTTACCAGTAGATCGTTTTTGTAGTTCTTATCACAAAACTACCAGAATCAGGGAGGCACCAAAAAACGTCAAACAGCTTTAAGCATTATAAATACTCTAATCTGCAGATTGTATTTATTTTTCTTACTCTGTGAACGAAATCACACTTTTCTAACTTCACACAGATTACCATGAAACAAATTTTCCCATGCAACTCCTAAAATCTTACAACTCATACATCTTTTTTTCCTATACCATCCGCATCTTGCTCCAAGGTTTCATGGCAATGTCTTGCACGCGAGGCAGCCACTATTTCCTATCACCAAACTACATTGCTCATCATCTAACATTATCTACAGAAACCAAATCGGATTTCCTGCTCAACGTTTCCGCTCGTTGACATTGTCTTGGTTTTCACTATATTTTTAAAGCATTTTTAGTTATAACATTTTCCTAGGTTTTCACTGTATTTTTCTAACATGTTACATGCCTCCTAGCATGTTCACGCGTGTCCTCCATGTTGTACTGTTTTCTACATCGTTTCCTCTACACCGGGTCCTTTTACCGTGGAAGTCAGGATGGAAAAACCTGTCGGTTTACATGGAAGTCGTTTACGTCCAATTCCTGGGGAAAAAGTGAAACTGGGCTACCGGGCCAGCAAATGCAGAAAAACTGACCGTGAATCTCTTACATGGAAGTAGCTCATCAGATATGTCAGTAACATATTCATCATGGAAGTGTGAAAACTGAGACTAAAAACCCTTACGTGGAAGTAACTTGAGGGTCCAGACATCAGGTTGGCAACTTCTATGTTAACATGTTCTCCCCTCATGTTGAATACATCCTTCTAGGGCGATCCCTAAACCCCCAGACTGACCGCCACATCATTTTTTTCTTCTTTGCATCTATCTTCTCACCCCTGTCATGTCCGAGCGATTGAGGATGCAACCTTTCGAAATCAATGCTGCCAAATTGGTGCTCGCTAAATGGCACTGCCCACATCCTACTTGAAGTAGCAAATTTCTATGTAAGTTATCCGTTCCAGCTTTATCTTGAAAAAATCAAAATTTCTACGTTAATCAACAAATGCCCAGGATTCCCGGGGAACTCGTGGCAAAAAGAACTAGCCAAAAAAAAAGGCCTCAGATCCAAAGAACACAAATTAGCAGTTTACCCCCCCATTGCAACTAACATGGAAGTAAAATGAAGTAAACCTCCGAATTGTCACTTTAGTTAACGTGGAAGATTTTTTTTTGCACTACGGTAAAAGGAGGACCGAGCGCTCCCTAACATGGCACTGCCCACATCCTACTTCAAGTAGCAAATTTCTATGTAAGTTATCCGTTCCAATCGTTGGTTGTTAAAAAAGGGAGGCATTCCCAGCTTTATCTTGAAAAATTCAAAATTTCTACGTTAATCAACAAATGCCCAGGATTCCCGGGGAACTCGTGGCAAAAAGAACTAGCCAAAAAAAAAAGGGCTCAGATCCAAAGAACACAAATTAGCAGTTTACCCCCCCCAGTGCAACTAACATGGAAGTAAACCTCCGAATTGTCACTTTAGTTAACGTGGAAGATTTTTTTTTTGCACTACGGTAAAAGGAGGGGGAGTAGTTCTTACAAGCATTTCCTAGCTTGTACACCGTTTTCCTAATATTGTCACAACTTTTCTTCCAGTTTCCACTGCTTTTTCTACCGTTTCCTGTGGTTACTTTCTTCTCTTTTGTAGGTTTTCACTGTGTTTTGTCCAGCTTTTTTTACTACATGCTTCCTACCATTTTCACCGCTTTCCTCTGTGGCTTTTTGTACCATTTCCTCTCGTTTCCTGCATTTCATGCATTTTCAATATATTTTTCCAAGAGTTTTACCCGTCTCCTTCAGTTTCCGATTGTTTTTGCACCATTTCCTCTGGTTGTTATCGCACTTTCCTGCGCTTTCACTGTATTTTTCCAGCATGTTTACTGCATCGTCATAGTTTGTTCCTAGCAGTCGCTCCGGTTTCCTCCATGTTCCAACAGATTTTGCACCCTTTATTCTGGTTGTTATCACATTCCTGCCAGGTTGTTATCACATTTTCCTTCACTGTATCTTTCCAGCATTTTCCAGTGGATTTTGCACGGTTTCCTCTGATTGCTATCATGTTTTCCTGCAGTTTCTATATCCTCTTCGTGGGTTTTCAGTCTATTCATGCATTTTATCTATTTTTCCAAGATTTTTACCCGTCTCCTTTTTGCACCATTTCCTCTGGTTTGCTGCATTTTCAATGTATTTTTCCAAGAGTTTTACCCGTCTCCTTCATTTTCCGATCGTTTTTGCACCATTTCCTCTGGTTGTTATCGCATTTTCCTGCACTTTTACTGTCTTTTTCCAACATGTTTACTGCATCGTCATAGTTTGTTCCTAGCAGTCACTCCGGTTTCCTCCATGTTCCAACAGATTTTGCATGGTTTGTTCCTAGCATTCGCTCCGTTTTCGTCCGTTTTCCAGGGGGTTTTGTACGATTTCCTCTGATCGTTATCATGTTTTCCTGCAGCTTCATTGTATTTTCCAATACATCCTCATGGTCTCCCCGGCCACCAAAAAGGCGGACCTAGGGGGAATCGATACCCCACCGTCAGCAAATTACCTAGTGGTACATAATCCAGCAAAATGCTCCGTTTTCTGGCGCTCAACACAGGGGCACGGCGAGATTTCGTTCCCTTTCGGCAACCACCCCCCCCCACACCCCCTATTCTCACTTCGTTCGCAAACAGCAACTAGCCAGCTAGCTGGCTTTCGTAATAAATAAAAAATAGTGTAAACAAGATTGAATCAGACTGCGCGTGCGGCTGGGGTCACCCAGCACCCAAGCCGAGTCCCTAAGAAAAGTTCATGTCGGAAATTTGGAGCGCCTTCTCCTTCTTCTTTGGCTTCTCCCCGGCAGCTGTTACAACCGCGGGCTGTGTTTCGGCCTCTTCAAGCCATGGCAAGTTTGGATGAATGAAGAAGGATCATGAATCATGAATAAGCATGAATAACCACGAATAAACATGGAACCATTGACATGAGATATGGCAGATATGGTAGCAGGTGGATGTGAACACACATTGACACTTGAATGATGGATAATGATTGCACCTGCGCAGTGTTTGCTGCAGGTCCAACAACTTGCTGCGAAGCCTTCAACGACTCGGCTTGGATCAGCCGGTGACCATGATTCATGATCTCTCCACCAAAATATGACACAATATACTATGGTACATATTATACATATATATATATATATATATATTGTGGCAAGGATAGCCCCCATGAGATAGATATATCTCTCCTTATTTTCTTATGACATGATTTGAAGAGATTTGAAGAAAGTGTGGGATTCTCTGTCTGATGGCCTGTTTCCATCTGTTTCCTGCAGAACAGATGGCTGCAACAAGGGCTTACAAGAACAACTTGGTTGATTTCTCCCAGATGCATCATGTGTATCGACTCTGGGCCGCAGATCCATCCGAAGGGTGTGGCTTCAACGATCTCAGCAGATCTCTTCATTCTCGGCTTGGTCCAGCCGAGCTCATGCTGCCCTAAAAAAAAACGCAGCCAATGAAGCCACAGAGCTGAAAAGCCAATGTTACGCAAGTCATAGTTTCTGGTCATTGAATCTGCCCGCAGGCTAGCTTCGCATTGCAATACAGGCTCCTAAGGACCAAAATCTTGGAGGGACAGAAAGACTGCGGAAAGCCACTGCATTGCATACCTAGTTTGGGCTCGCTAGAGTCTGAGAATGTCTTGACACATAGATTTGTGCAAGGATTCTTGTGTCAATGGAGGTAGAGTGTGCACCCTGGTCTTGCTCCTACTGGCACTGCAGTTCCTGGTGAGCTGAATCAAGGTGTTGCAAAGCAACACTTTCAGTGTCTCCCAAGTTAAAAGGCAACAAAAGCACACACACGCACATAGCTTTTGCAAGCACTTGTTCCTCATTTATCTAGCTGCCCTTTCCGGAAGAGTTTGCAACCTAAATCACTGCTGCCTCCCTTTCAAGGCTGAAAAGTGAAACAAAAACCATTCATCCTCCTGGCTTAGAGGATAATCTGCCTGCACCTCTAAGATACACCTCTGAGTGGCTTAAAGGTTTTAGAGCAGCCCTGCACTGATTGTGCAAAACATGCGCAGGGAACTGTACAAAGCATTCATGGCATGTGCGCCATCAGAACTCTCCATGTTTGGCCCAATGTCCCAATGTGATGTCTATGTTTGGTTCCAGGGTGATAAATTGAGCAAAGCGGAAAAGCGAGCTGGGGCCAAAGTTCAAAAAAATCCAGGCACTCCAAATCCTTCAACCCTGGTCATGAACACCTTGCAGCAAGGTGCAACCTGGACACCCAACCCTCGCAGCAGTGAATATCAAGTGTGTAACGTGTGTATGTCAAGGCATATAATCACAAACAAAAGCCACGCTCAAATAAAAGGTGCTGCAGAAAGCGTAGCACAGCCCCCAACAGTTCAGTAGCTGGAGCTGAAACGTACTTACGTAGGTCAACTCCTCAATCTTGGAGCATCCTCTTTACTCAGAATCAGTCCTACGACCTCAACATACACGGATAGCAAATAGACAATGGTATGCAAAGGCGGCTCTACCTTCATAAGCGTTTGAATCTAAGTATAGCCAGGATATAACAGATTGTAACAGTATATCTCCGCGTCTCAGCAAAAATTGCACTTCTAGCAACGAATCATGGAACAACTTGAGATCCGTCATAATTGCACAAAGTATGATAGCTGTAAAGATGGAGAATGCTGAAATGTCTGAATTCGGATAGTCAACATCTGGTCATTTCTCTGTTTTTATGTCGCCCAAGTCACCCCAGTCGCAAGATTCTGTGACCCGACTCTTGGCCCTGGTTCTCCCGGGTATTTTCAATGGTCTCACAGACCACCATGTCTCGATGAACTTTTTGCATTTTAGAGACCGCAACCACCAGCGCAGTCCCCACTTCAGCTACCCAGCTGAAAGCGGGTGCTCCCCCCAATAAAAAAGCATGGCGCTAGCTTGCTAAACTGAAGAGGTTGAGTCAATCCCGCAGAATCATGGTTCAATTTTCAGAAAGGGCCTCCCCCAAGATTGAATGTAGACAAGTTCATTCCATGGCAAGAAATCAAGGAATGCTTTCCAGGAATAGCTTCTACACCTCAAGTTCTGCAAGCTTGCGCAACTACCAAGAACAGTGATTGAGCGAAACAATCCTGATCCCTCCCCCCAGCAAGTCAATGGTTCAGGTTCCAGAACAGCCTTAAACTTGATCTCATTCGGGAATTGCATTTCTTGTCCGTGCAACACTAAGTATACGATGTGTCTGAAGTCTGAAAAATCAAATCAACTTGAATCCCATCAAATCCCGTTTAAAGTATTTAAAGTGCTGTTGCTTTTGACTTTTAACATCCTTTATAACATCCTTTAACATCCTTTAGCATCCTTTTACCATGTCAATCTGATTCCACGTGCATTGCCGTCCAGCATTCCTCCCGCGTGCTGCTTGCCGTCCAGCATTCCGCCGGCTCAGCAGTCGCACGAGCCTCTTCCAGAAAGCCCACGAGCGGTGCTGACCTGTCCTGGTCGAAGCTGCAAGAAAAGGCTGGAAATTAATGTCAACCCCGGATTAATAAACCATAGTTTAATTAAAATTAGGGGGGTACTCCTCCAATAATCATAATCCAATACTTAAATGGTACGCCCCAATTAAACAGCCGTTTGGGGTTTATTAATCCAGGGTTGACATTTGACATGATGATCATGTCGATTCATGTGGAATGATGGATATTAACCAACTATAACCAACTCAATTGGGGATGTGGATGATATGGTGATCCTCATTTTTTGGGGCATTTTTGCGCACATTCCCAGGATGAGGACGTCCGAACCCTGAGATGCACGGGATGAAGAAAAGCAAGAGAGACATCGTCTCCCAGCAAGAAAAGACTAGATCCAAGTTAAACTGTCTGCGGGTCTCGTAGCCACCTTCTTCTGTTTTTTGGACTTCTTGGCACCACCTCAGAAACACATACGGTAGTGACGTTAGGAGTCGTCATGTGCCCTACTGCACAGAAGATGATATTCACAGTCTCAACATTTGCTCATCGGGATGATGTACTGCTATGTTGAGACATTTGACGTACTTTTGACATTAAAAAAAACATTGAGAAACATGCACTGGGTCACTGGGAGACTACTGATACTACTGCTAAAATTACACCTATCATCCACCTGTCTAGCTAAATTGCCACAACAACTCCCATCTAGATGCGGCCACATACACCTCGAAGCAGATGAAGCATCACAGCAGTTGCTTTCTACACTTCATTGTCGAAATTTGAAACATGTTGAAACACTTTCGCCTAGCCGCGCCTATTCTGCTCAAGTTTGAAGGCTGACTGACTTGCGCTGACGGCGCTGACTGAGGGTTGGTATAATGTTGGAGGGGTAGCCCAACAGCTTTACAGGACCAGCTTCACTTCGCCCCCGGACCTGCTTCACTTGCTGCAGCATGCGCAGCATGGTTTGGGTCCTGCGGGATGAAAGGTCAGTTTGCACTGTGGTTTTGGTATGCTGAAAGCATATTTCGCCTGTGCAATTCTGCTATATAATATATTATAATATTCACAGACTTTCACGCTTCCAACAGCAAAACATGTTGCTATCCTTGAACTACAATATCCCACTGCAAAAGCAAATAAAGGAACAGTGCCAAGAAATGTTGAGAACAAGTCAGGGTAGTTTGTCTGAAATATCGGCAACTGAGTGTAGAGCAACCATCAGCATTCCACCCACGTCCCGCCACCTTCTCCTTGCGCTTCTTCGGCAACGAGTCAGATCCTGCGGTGGATCACTTCAGAAAGACGTGTCATTCTGAGTCATGCCTATTTCATCCCTTGCTAACCCATGTCGTAGATGTTACAGGACAGTGGATGATGATGGATGATGTTACAATAGCCGTGACATCACTGTTTTCATGTTCAGCATCTGCACAGCTGTGTATGGCCCTCTAAGAGGGCACCTCCAATCGCTGGTGCAGCGCCACTGCCATTGGCCTAACGGCGAAACACAAACGCATTCAACGCAGGGTTCGGAGGCCAAGATGTGCTTCGAAAACCGGCAAGAAAGAAGCAGTAACCCATAGGATCCATGTATGCCATATATGGTAACATTTACCATCAATATACCCCCAATGTTAGTATATATACCATACATGGATCCTATGGGTAATAAACACGTCTCGTCTCAGTTCGCATGCGAACAATCGTGTCATAGATATATGCGATGATATATGATGATATGCCTACGCGGTTTCACTTTGGCAATTCCATGTTGCAAGGTGGTTTCATTGTCTTGATGTGTGCTAGACTTCCAGACTCCAGCATACACAGTATGCACAGGACCACACATCCATAATCCATACGCGATGATCCCACGTTGCTCAGTGCCCCACGACAGGAGATGCTCCTTCCGGTGAAGGCACTGGGGCTGCGGTCAATGGAGTTGGTACAACTCCATTGACCGGCCTGCTGCGACAATGAGAAACGGCCAGGGGTTGAAGATACTGTAACCCCACATTTATGACATACTCCCCAAAGTGTTTTCAAGTGAATCAATGATTATAATTTATAAATATTTATAATATCAATTATTGTTTTATATTGTTTTATTGTGGTGTATATAATGGGATGTCACTGAGTCACCAGCACCTCAAACGCTACAGCACAGCATGCTGTGACTGTCAAACTTTCTGAGACTCCAACACCATTGGATGCGTCTTTTTCCACCATTCCACCTTGGCGGCCAACTTGGCAGCAGATCACCAAGGCCCAGCCCGGATCAAATGTCAGAGGCATCCAAATATGGCCATATATTGTGGCCAGAAAATGGTCACAGATTTCACACATGTTTACATATTTTATCATATTTTTACATGTAAGATATGTAACGTCATAGCATGTTGAGATTTTTCGTTCAGCACTTGGGGAGCTGGGGTTGGCACATACTCTTGGTATGTCATCTTGGTAAAGTCAGGTGCGTCCTGCCGACTCCTTCGCCGAGTTCGTTCCCTCCTGCTACGGCTGAATGTCGGAAGCTGCCATCGAAATTGCAGTGGCATGCCATGAAGGAAATTTAGAAACAAAAGTGAATGGTTCCAACAGTCATGATGGCAAAATAGATGCGGGTTGAGGGTCATTGATGCTTGTCTAACTTAGCCGCTGCAAAGGCAGAACGTTGTCAAGCTTTGAAGCCTTTGAAACTGTCTGACGTGACTTCTTATAACATCACATTTTGGATATTTTGGATGTCTGAATGGAAAATCATGGAAAACCTGGAGATGGATCGCAAAAGTCTCGTAGTGATTCACAATTAAGTCATTCTCCTAGCATTCAGGCGTTGTCTCATTACATTCAGGTGTTAAGTTCATTAGGAAAATGACTTAATTATTAACGCAACCAATCTTTAAGATTTCCTAATCTTGCTCTCTCTTCCTAGATCTTCCCAGCGAGCTACCTGCCAGTCGCAGGAGTTTCTGGCACATCTGGTGCAGCTGATGTTGCCACCGGTGCTGCCACCGGTGCTGCCACCGGTGCTGCCACTGGCGCTACCGGCGCCACAACAGGCGCTGCCACAGGGGTTGCTGGAGTGTGGGCAGGGCCTCAGCAGCAGCCTTGAGGGGCCACCCAAAAAGCCAACATCCTAAAACGCGTTCAAGTTTCTTGATGTTTCTTGATGGTTTTTGTGTTTTGCCACCCTGAAACCTATTTGTACGGTTTGAAATTCATTGAAAGGCCGAAACTCTGCACATGTCGACAAGAGGTACGGTGATGCGGCCACGTCAAGGGCCGGACTCCTGCTCCGGCTCCTTCTTCGTCTCCTGTGGGCCAAAACTATGCGTCAATCAACATGCGATTGAACTCACTTTGTGACATTCTCAAGACATGGTCTATGCAAATCAAGTGTATGCAGCACCGCAAAGCCTCAAGAAAAACACATTAAATCACACACCGCAATGCGTCCTGTGTCGTCCTTCAGTGGCACCCTGCAAGTGGAGATCTTCAAGGATGTAGAGTGCCAAGTATCCAAACATGTTCGATGCATTTTTTCATCGTAGGAAGACCAAGACCAAACATAAACACAAACTGAGACTGGCAATCGTTTGAGCAATACCCTCTGGTAAACTAACATAACTATGGGAAATGACCATTTTTAATGGGTAAATCCACTATAAATGGCCATTTTCAATAGCAATAGTTTGTTTTCACATCCGAAATTTCATCCCCATAGCGGCCATAGCGCTCTCCCAAGTTGACTAAAGGCTGCCAAGCAACTGCCCAAACACCTGCGGGCACTCAATGATTGCAACTCGAGAGTTTTGGTGGAAAAGGAATCGAAGAACAAGATTCTCAGACTTGGCAAAACTGTGCGAAGGATGTCGACAATGTTGTTTTGTGGGAAGTTTCGTTTGTCAGTTTGACATGGTTTGTTGACCATGGACCCACAAGATTGGTCAGATGCGGTCATATAGTGGCTCAACACCATCCATGTTTTCGGGATTGATCATATGAATTCACTTGAGCCATACCATTGCAAATTTACCTTAAATATGTTTAAATCATGGTGTGGATTGTGGTGAATTGTGCTGGATCACGGTGCTGAAATCCATTTGTTGATGCTAACATGATGGTCCGCCTGGTGGACCGGCAGCTTGCACTGGCAGAGCGGTCGGCGCCGTGGGCGGCGCCGTACCGGGTGCTGCGTACCACGCAGGTGCTGGATCGAAGGGCGAACCTGGGTAGTGCTGACATGGGCTCAACGGGGTTTAGATGAAGACACGGCATGCCACAGAATGTGATTCGCTATGGGTTACCAGGTTACCATGGTGATGCTGCTGATGGTCTGGCAAGCATGCTTGGATTTTTTCCCCATGCCAGGTGAGGGTCTCTAGATTTTATCAGAGCTGCACCTCCTCCTCCGCCTCCTCGACCTCACCGGCGAGCTCCAGATCTCTGTGGGCACTGCCGGACCTCGAGCGCCAGATCTTACTGGACACTGCCGGACCTCAACCGCGAGCGCCAGATGTCAGACAGAATGCCACAAAGAATGCCAGATAGAATGTCAGTATATACGTCAGATAGAGCGCCAGATAGGATCAGAATGAATATAATATATATATATATGTATATATATATATACATATGTATATATCAGGTAAAAGATAGAATGCCAGATGCAATGTCAGAATATATGTCAAACAGAATATCAGTTGGTGGTTGAAGAACGCATTCTTGTTTTTAGAGAGACTGAGGTCGAGAAACCCAATTGGGGGCCTGCACCAAATGGAGCCATCCATGGCCTGGGCAGCTACCGAGAAAGATTCCTAGAAAAATCCAGAGTTGTAATGCCATGAACTATGAACATCCGGTTATCAGGCATCAGGGACCTTTCCGGGGTATTCCTGGGTTAGCAAAGATTCATCAGCTTCTTTGATGCTCTTGCATTCTCTTGAATGTCCAAAAAGGTTTTAAAGAAAAGGCCTCCGGATCTCACAGAAGCTCCTGCATTGAACCACCTGCCCCTGAACATCCCAGAACGAGCCGTCCATGAAGTGAAGTTCCGGACGGTGGGCCAACAGGAGGGGGGCCAGGTAATGGCCTCCAAGCTGCCAACATCATCCCAAATCTCAGTCAAATATGTGGCTTCACATGGCCAATGTCCCTTCACATTCCACACATCTAAGATAAATCCAAGCACTCAAACGCGGCCATCTGCCCATCAGGAAATGCGTCACCTTGGTAGTCGTTGTTACAGTCTGTTGCAGGTATCAAAACGGTCGTCGTTAGAGTCAGAGGCTTGGGCGTGGAGGGCTCGCTGAGAAGGGAAGCGGCTCATCCTCGGGATTTGACCGCTTTGACTTTAAAATGGTCAATGCAGATCCACTATGTGGAATAAGTATATGAGTAATTAGTATATTATATATTTATATAAAGTGAATCAAATATATATATATATATATATATAAATTGTGTGGCAAATCTTGAATGCCTTGAAAGATGTGGACAAATAGACAAATAGCAGTGAAAACATGTGAAAACTGCCCACTTTTCGGATGCCATATATTTCTGCTCGACACACCTGGAGCCCCCCACAAGGCATGGTTCGTATGTCTTGGGATCCTCTAAGTAAACCTGGGCGAAAATCAGCATGGTCTGATGCTGCCAGTGTGTTGGTGCAAAACATCTGCCAAGAGCCATGAAAACACAAGGACTCTCCTGCTTCAACATGTCTCTCCCAGGACGTTTGCTCAGTTTGCTCAGGCCGAGTTGCTCTGACGTCGAAATGGGTGCATAGCTCTACACCCACCTCAGGACCATTCATGATCATTCATGTAGATAATTGTATAATTGCAAGATAGATAATCCTCTTTGTGAATCTCTTTTTCAGATCAAAGAGACCAGTTTCCCCTTACTCAGCCTTACTCAATTTGCTCTGCTGTGACCAAGAAGATGCCGAACATTTCGAGGTGGAAACTTGGAGAGATGGCCTTTGGATTTCCACGAAATGATCAAAAAGATCAAAGGGCTGGGACCTCATATGACAATTCTTGACCATCTCTTGCAGCGGAGACCTGCAAGCTCTGCCGAATCTGGAGGAGTCTTGGGCTCGGTCTTCTCAGTTTGGGATCCAAATGATAATCGTTACGAATTCTTGGGCCTTGAAAGTTCAAGTCATCAAGATCTCAATTCGTATGAAGTGTTCGTGATGTGGGAAACGCTGCTGGAAACGCTGCTGGTGCAGAAAAAAAAAGCCGCACGCCTGTCGCCCTTCGTCCAAAGGGTTGCGCAGATAGCTTACCTGCCATACAGAGAAGCAGCTGCGTCTGCAAACTTTACAGAGCCTAATCAAATCAGGCAACTATGTAACTATGTACATAAATGTAATATATAGACATACATAAATATGTATTATATATGATATATTATTATATATATATATACAGTAACACATTATAATACGTATATACATGTAATCTAGACCAGTATGTAACGTATGGCAAGAATCTGCAGGCAGACAAGTGCATGGAGGGGGGTTGCCTCTGGCATGACCACATCTTGCAGTCGCAGCCATTCAACCTGAAAATCCCAGGTAGCAAATCAGCTGCTCTCATTATGTCCAGTTTGTCATGCGATTCAGTTTGTCAGCTGGAAGCCAACCTGGCGCATCCACAAGTCTTAGGTCAAGACATCGAATAAGCGCCCGAAGCCGCCAAAGGGGTCTGTCCTGCTCTTGGATTGACCCGGGAGGCTCCGCCTCAGCTCCCGCTGGTGTTTTGGTTTGACCCACGGCCAGTTTCAACCTGTTAATGAGAAATCACCTTGAAGAAACTGAACTTCAGCCAAACAATCCACCTATTACCACCTATTGTCAATGTGAAAGGCAAAAAAACGTTCAACAACACCCAAGATACCCATGGCCAGAAAAGGTCACAGTTGATACCTTTGGTCTCTTGAGCGTCCAGGCATGCGAGCATAGCCTTGAAAACCACCACTTTTGCTCACGGAGAAAATCAAAATTACAGCCTTGCAGCAGAGAAAGTTTCAGGGATCACTAGGATCACTCAAAGAGCATCGGCTTGAGTGGAAAGTACATCTGAAAACAGCCCGAAGAGATGTCGACCAACATACCAGTTCAGTACAGTTCAGCAGGTCTCCATTGGGGATGGCCCCTGAAGGGCTCCATTTGGATAGCGCTGAGCTGAAAACTCTGCTGGTGCGGAAGGCATCCGCCAGCATCTGCTCGTTTTTCCGCTGGGTGGCCCAAACCTCGGGAACTGTTACTAAATGTGTGTGGTGTTTTATGTGATTTTACGCGCACCTGCTCCCTAGACATAGATTGTGTCACCTGCTCATTTTGGAAATGGTTGTTTGATGCTATTATATATATATTATGTTATTATATGATTTATATGTTATATTATGTTTTTAATATGTTATTTGTATTTCTATCTGACTGTGATTGAGCTTCTTGCTGTCACGAGTGAGACATCTGGGTATCCCTGGGGGTATCCCTGGGTATCCGCGGCATTGTTCTCCACAGACTTCACCACATTTTCACCCACATTGCTAGTGATCACCTTGCCGCCCAGCGGAAAAGGAGCACCAAATGGGACCACCCTGACCACGGTGGCTTAGGTGGTCCACGACCCGAGTTTTTGTCTTCAGAGCCCTCTGCGGAAAATCTGAGGTGTCTGCGAAGAAGCGAACTCTGGGATCCTGTGCGGCATGTCTCCAGGCCTATCTCTTCCTTTCAAGGCTTCCTCCCAGCTTGTCCCAGCTATCTGGTTACCCTTTGTGAAGCAAACCTTGACAGCTTCGAGGCAATACCCTTGGTGCTTGGCAGTTGCTTGATTCACTATTGTGCAACGGCTGCAGGCCTGGTTCTAATGTTGCATAAAGTTGCATAAGAATACAATATGTCCCATCAAGCTTGCAGATTGGATCTAGGTTTGCACATGCTGCACAGTCATTTAGCAACTGTACCAGTGTGTTTTTCAAATTCCACGTGGTATGCCAATCCACCGCGTAGACTATAAATAGTTATAATATGTATATTATATAATTATGTAAATATCAGTGATGCCGGTGTGCACAAGCTCAAGTTGTTCCGAAAGCTGATAAGTCTCATTGCGTCCAAAGAACGACAACCCAGCATCAGTTTGTCCTGAAGAAGGGGGCTTCGTTTGAAGCCTGCTGGTTCTGTCAGCATGCCGACCCGCGAAATGCGTGCGTTGTGATCTCAGCCTGCTCCTTTTTCTGAATGTGATTCTTAAGGCAAAAACATCTGGAAATACGTCGATGTTACGAAGCATGGCCCTGTCAACCTATGGCATTGCGTACTTCATTGGCGATTTTTTTGTGGATGTTTGTCCCAATCAAAATCAAGGTGCAGAGTACCGCTACAGGTTTCTATTTTTTGACTTGCACTTAGGGCAGGGCTGGTCAGGCACTTGACTACCCGTGACTACCCTGCCTCTCTACCTGCACTCCCTTTTGGGTAAAACCTGCTGGTTTTAACTCTGTTCTGATGTGACCGAAATGTCGAGCACATCATCGTTTAGCTCAGATTCCCTCATCTTCATGGGCAAAACATGTTTTTTGGAGTCCAACTTTCATCTGGCTGGACGGCTGGCCTAGGTGTGTGCTGACTTGTCAAAGTGTCCAGGGTCCAGGAATGTCAGTACTTCATTGTGTGTGGGATTGTGTGGGTCTGTCTTCCAGCAAATGCTGCAGATTGCTGTCCAAAGCCAAAGACGAGCGAAGCAATCAACATATTTGCAAAGTGTTAAACGAATTCCAGAAGTTGCCCCTGTTTCTCAAAGGGCTGTTGAAAAACGGTACAAAATCCGCTGCCAGGCTTCAATGCAACCCTCGGTTAGGATTTTCCTCCATGCATCCGCAGCCATACAGAGATCCGGTTTCACTTTTTTTCCTCAAGGGAGGACGAAATGGCTGAGATGCTCTCAGCCAAGACAGTTGAATCCCAACGAGGCCGCTCTGCCGGGACCTTCCTTTCTCAGTCGTAGTGGGAAAGCCAATCAAACAAGTCAACCATCTCGTATAGCTGACATTTTGACATATGCATTTCGCAATTCGGAATCCAAAATGACATTGTACTTATATGTATCTACTTTAATGTCATTTTATCTTGTTTACCTGTTGGTGTACGACAATGTCAGCTGCCTTCGAGGAGATTACACCATATGACTTATAACATCTTATAACATATTTTGCCCCGGCCCAGGGTGCTGTCCTCGGATGGAATGTCACCAAGCACACCCAGCAATTTGCCAGGTGTCCCTGGATGCATGAACTACCCAGAAATCACATTCCGACTACTGGCTCAACGTGCGTCAATGTTCTCATCGTCGTCGCGACCTTCTTCGTGGCCGGCTCATGCCAAAATAAATTGAGCGTTGGTCCATGGTGAATTCCTTCAAAAGGTCGACAAATGGGCCATGTCCCGTATCCCAGAACAAAATCCAGCTCCAACTTTTTAAGTTCATGTGGGTATGTATGAACGTATGTATAATATATCCCCCGACCTCTGCCGTCACCAAGGCAGGGGCACCGCAGGTATGGAACTTGTTTTTGTCGGCTTGCCTTCAAACCCTTACAACGCTCCGCGGCAGCTTGCACCAGGCACTCCATAGCCGGCGTTCAAGCCTGCCGTTTGCCAGCCTTCAAACCCCTAAAATGCTTGTTAGGGCGTTCAAGCCTGCCGTTTGCCTGCATAGCCCTCTGCGTTCAAGCCTGCCGTTTGCCAGCCTTCAAACCCGTAAAATCCCTCGCGGCAGCTTCGACGAGGCACTCTGGCCACAAGCATTTGTTGTTAGAGCGTTCAAGCCTGCCGTTTGCCAGCCGTCAAATGCCTAGAATCCCTGGCGGCAGCTTCGGCGAGGCACTCTGGCGACAGGCATTTGTTGTTAGAGCCTTGCAGCCTGCCGTTTGCCTCCATAGCACTGTGTTGTTAGGGCGTTCAAGCCTGCCGTTTGCCAGGCTTCAAATGCCTAAAATCCCTCGCGGCAGCTTCGACCACGCACTCTGGCCACAGGCATTTGTTGTCAGAGCGTTCAAGCCTGCCGTTTGCCTGCATAGCCCTCTGCGTTCAAGCCTGCCGTTTGCCAGCCTTCAAACCCGTAAAATCCCTCGCGGCAGCTTCGACGAGGCACTCTGGCCACAAGCATTTGTTGTTAGAGCGTTCAAGCCTGCCGTTTGCCAGCCGTCAAATGCCTAGAATCCCTGGCGGCAGCTTCGGCGAGGCACTCTGGCGACAGGCATTTGTTGTTAGAGCCTTGCAGCCTGCCGTTTGCCTCCATAGCCCTGTGTTGTTAGGGCGTTCAAGCCTGCCGTTTGCCAGGCTTCAATGCCTAAAATCCCTCGCGGCAGCTTCGACCACGCACTCTGGCCACAGGCATTTGTTGTTAGAGCGTTCAAGCCTGCCGTTTGCCTCCATAGCCCTCTGTTGTTAGGGGGTTCAAGCCTGCCGTTTGCCAGGCTTCAAAAAATCCCTCGCGGCAGCTTCGACGACGCACTCTGGCGACAGGCATTTGTTGTTAGAGCCTTGCAGCCTGCCGGTTGCCTCCATAGCCCTCTGTTGTTAGGGCGTTCAAGCCTGCCGTTTGGCAGGCTTCAAACCCCCAAAATCCCTAGCTAAGGACCTCCAAAGAAATTTTAAGCCTACCCTGGAGTTCGTAAAGTACTATAGGCTTTAGGTGGTAAAATATTGGGATTGTGAGTGAGTTGGTCCTGATGTTTAGTAAGGGGTTAGCCCTTAAAGTGTATACATCACATCACACAGTGAGGATTTTACGAACTCTTAGTGTTGGTTTAGTATTCGGCATACCTACTGCCTCCAGCACAGAGATCACCAAGCAGCAAAGATCAGCAAAGAGCCGAAGAAGATGAATTTTGGTGGAATTTTGGTGGACTTTGGTAATTTTTTGATGGGTTTCTGGTGTATTTCTGGATGATCTGGTGGAATTCTGGTTGACTTTTCGGGGAATTTCTGGCGGATTTCTGGTTTGGTGGAATTCTGGGAGATTTTGCAATTTCGGGTGGGTAATTATTGATTTCTGGTTGAATTCTAGGCGGTTTCTGGTGGAATTCTGGCAAATTTCAGGTGGAATTCTGATGGGTTTCTTGGTGTTTTGTTTGGTTCTGGCGGATTTCTGGTGGCATTCTGCGTAAAAGGACCCCTTATCAAATGGCTGCAAAGGCCAACCCCCCTTGAAAGGGGGTCGGCGGCACCCGGGCGTTAGCCCATTTAGTTATATTTATATTTATATTTATATATATATATTGTTTAATATTATATTATATTATATTTATATTATATTTTATTATATTATATCATATTATATATATACACATACAATTATATACATATTTAGGTGTGGTATGTCTCAAGAAATTGGGTCTCAGGTGTTTAAGACTTCATTAAAACTCGGGGTGTATCATCGTTTTTCCAATATGTTCATTGAAAATGGCCGTGGAGTCAGAGCCAGGTCACTGTTTCGAACTTTCGTTCGCAGCTCCAGCTGGCCATAAAGCATCCTGGCCTCCTGGTGTAGACCACTGGTGGGGATATGAATAGTAACTGCCCAAAAAAGACGGTATCAGTTTGAAAGATGTTGTAAGCCAGTTGTGAGGGGGATGTCAATGGGATGAGCCGCTTAATAGGGATTTGCTGATTTTTTTCATGGGATGATCATGGAAGTTCATGGATAGTCGTGATTGTTGAATATGTTTGGATCCTTTGCACATTAATCAGTTGCAAAAAACAAACATGGCCAGCTGCAAATTGGGATGATCCTGTTTGATAGGTGCTATCTGATAGAAATTCAGCCAGCATACGAGTCAGTTCCCACATCTCTCCTTGCCAATCATCTCTGGGTTGTAGGAGAACTTGCCGCTTTCTCCAACCACGATGGTCTGCGCACAGCACAGGCAGCAATGGTTTGGAATGCTTCAAGTGCTCACTGAAACCTGCTAAGCCCTCGACAGGTTGATGAATGGTGCAACACGTTGTAAAACCAGGAGCCATGAACGAAGTGGATGTTGAAATAAAAGGATGAAGTAGATCGATTTCGGGAGTAGCCAAGGAAATGGATAATCCACACACAGTGATTGTGATAGTAGCAGAATGCTCGGCTGAAGGTGTTGAGACGAACATGTATGGTACATTGACCAACAAATGACACACAGCGCATGGCTGCGCACGGCGCATGGGCCTCACCCTCCTTGAGTCCAGCCGCTTTCAATGCCTCAGACATTCCTGTTGCCTGCCACCGGGACGGCCACACTATGCCACAAGGGAGTGCTGCAAGATGCTGCAAGTTATCACCACTCACCACGCATCCTTTTCCGTTCAGTTCTTGAAAATTCCGTGTCCCTCATGTGTGGGGAAAGGGTCATTTTTCCGTTCAGTTCTGTACGGAGCTGACACAAGTCTGATCATAACATGATCCAAGTGTGCCAAAAAAGGAACATGGACCCAACATGGATGTGTCACAGGTGTCTATTGCTGGGCGCCTTCAAGACCCGATTCAAGCGGTCAAAACCGCCCTCGAAGCTCCAGTCTGTGCGATTGGCCACCTAGAGGGGTGGATGACAGTCGACAATCTGCAAAGGGTGGAGGAGACACTGCAAATTAAGACACCCGTCGTGCAGAGATATTGATGCTTCTGGGACACAATACACAAGTAATTCAGAAAGGTTAGATGCCAAGGCCGTCCAACGTGGTAGTGGCTTCTTCCAGCACTCAGGAATCAAAGTCTAATTCCATGTTGCGGCTCAGATATTCAGAGATCCTGCAATCGCTTTGGCACAAGCCAAGCTGTCGCCTCCTCCACTTCGGGGTGGACCAAACGCCAAGCCTAAAAATGTCACAAGTCGCACTGGTTCTGAACCGCAAAATGAAAGAACCAGCTTCAACAACCAGCGACAAATATCAGTTGTTTTTTTGGGCGACATATCAGACATATTGGACCCAATCATCCATTTTGGCTGGTACTGATAGTGTTAGACTGAAATTGGATATCCCTAAATCCATCTGGTTGGTGCTTTCTCAGACATATCACTTCCTGGATGTTGGAGGACCTGATGTCCACTTCGTTGCTAGATCTGCCAGCGCAAGGCCTCTGCCACGACATCCCACTCCACACGTGCCTGTGATCAGTTTGATTCAGAGGGGCAGAGCAACGGGTTGGGATTCAGCGCCAAATACGGACTGGCA